CATATAAATCAATAGAAGGCATTTTTTCATACATAGTTGGTAATTGACATTTATTTTCGTAATTAAAACCGCATTTCAGTTTAGTCCCGTTGATCGTGATATTGCTTCCCTTCACTCTCCCAGCATGCAACAATTGTGACATTGCTTCCCTTCACTCTCTCAGCATGCAACAATTGTGAATTGTGATATTGCTTCCCTTCACTCTCTCAACATGCAACAATTGTGATATTGCTTCCCTTCACTCTCTCAGCATGCAACAATTGTGATATTGCTTCCATCACTCCCTCAGCATGCAACAATTGTGATATTGCTTCCCTTCACTCTCTCAGCATGCAACAATTGTGATATTGCTTCCATCACTCTCTCAGCATGCAACAATTGTGATATTGCTTCCATCACTCTCTCAGCATGCAACAATTGAGATATTGCTTCCATCACTCTCTCAACATGCAACAATTGTGATATTGCTTCCCTTCATACTCTCAGCATGCAACAATTGTGATATTGCTTCCATTCACACTATCAGCATCTTGGCGCTACAAGGAAACATTATCTCTAAAAATAAAATAAGCATTTTGTAACATCATGACATTTTGAGATTATTATTCACATGGCGGATAATAAATACAGATGACAAATTATGTAAAGGGACTATTTCGTCAACTATATTGGCAAGCTTGTGTTTAATTTTCTCTGAACGAAGGCGAGGTTGCCAAACGTCTGTAAATGTACTGTCTGCCATTAAAATGTTTGAATGTCCGCAAAGACTTGAGGATGTTCGTTAAAAATGAGACACTTGAAGGAATCTTATGAAGCGAAGCAAAATGGAAACCTCAGCCTTTGTCTTTTTTTCTTCTTTGCTTATGATCATATTTAGGAGAAATTTAACAGTAGTGGCAATGTCATACAAGAGACTAAAGTTATAAAAATAGTCTCGTGGTCATGTGACATTGAATTATAGACAAATAGTCATAGACACTTTTCTATATGTATTTTTGACCTAGCCCTTGAAATCAACCGAATTCTATTTCGTATGGATATTTGAATATTTTTTAGCTTCATAGTTTAAGCAAGTTAATTGTTAAACATTTTTCAGTAAAAATTATGGATATTTTGAGTTATTGTCCATACATTTTATTGTATCTGGTTAGCAACCATGACCTAAGAAAACCTTTTTGTCGCAGTGCTCCCCCTAAAGTCTTTAGTATAACCCACTAGGTTATATCAGTACTTTTTGGTGACCGCATGACTGGTTAAATAAAGGTCCACACATAGCATAACACACTAGGTTATAAAAAACAGTGAACATTTTTCAACCAACAATCCTTCAGATAATTAATGACAAACAAAAAAACCTGAGATTTTACAAGCCCAAATATTAGTTACAATCCCAGGGATTTGTTGCAAGCCCAAATATTAGTTACAATTCCAGGGATTTGTTGCAAGCACGGAGATTTGTTGCAAGCCCAAATATTTGTTACAATCCCAGGGATTTGTTGCAAGCACGGAGATTTGTTGCAAGCCCAAATATTTGTTACAATCCCAGGGATTTGTTGCAAGCACGGAGATTTGTTGCAAGCCCAAATATTTGTTACAATCCCAGGGATTTGTTGCAAGCAGGGAGATTTGTTGCAAGACCAGATATTTGTTGCAAGACCAAATATTTGTTGAAAGGCCAGATTTTTTTTGTTGCAACATAGATTTGTTGCAAGCCCAGAGATTTGTTGCAAGACCAGAGTATGACTGAAAAGACATTTAAGAATTGAATCTATTTTTACAAAAGTTCAAAGTTGTAATAAAATACATCGCCACAAAATTTCACCAAGAGAATGTTGGACTCATACTGACGTTACCACCTGTGCGTTCTACACAATGAAAGTGCATGTTGGAGAAGTCGCCGATAGTTAGCAAATGTTTGATCCAATGAAAAGAAAATCGTGGTGATGTTAATGTTCATATTGATCAAACACAGTGTTTCTTCTTCTTTCTTCTTTATTTGAGGGCCCACGATCAATGAATTGATCATTCTGGCTCCTATAATTTTGTGTTTAATAATTTTGACAAAAGATGTACAGGAAACTTCAAGATACCCGCAAGTAAGGCATGTTTGCTGCAAGTATGGCTCGTTAGCTGAAAGTGTGGCATGTTAGCTGCTAGTATGATATGTTAGCTGCAAGTATGACTAGTTAGCTGCAAGTATGAATAGTTAGCTGCAAGTATGGCATTTTAGCAGCGAGTATGACTAGTTATCTGCAAGTATGACCAGTTAGCTGCAAGTAGGGCAAGGCTCCACTTCAGCAATTTCGATGAACTTGATGGTGTCTCACATGAAGGTTTCGCACGTCTCAGCAACAAATGTATGTGATTCAACGCTGAAATGTATGTGATTCAACGCTGAAGTGTATGTGATTCAACGCTGAAGTGTATGCGATTCAACGCTGAAGTGTATGTGATTCAACGCTGACGTGTATGTGATTCAACGCTGAAGTGTATGTGATTCAACGCTGAAGTGTATGTGATTCAACGCTGAAGTGTATGTGATTCAACGCTGAAGTGTATGTGATTCAACGCTGAAGTGTATGTGATTCAACTCTGAAGTGTATGTGATTCAACGCTGAAATGTATTTGATTCAACGCTGAAGTGTATGTGATTCAACGCTGAAGTGTATGTGATTCAATGCTGAAGCGTATTTGATTCAACGCCGAAGCGTATGTGATTCAACGCTGAAGTGTATGTGATTCAACTCTGAAGTGTGTGATTCAACTCTGAAGTGTATGTGATTCAACTCTGAAGTGTATGTGATTTAACTCTGAAGTGTATGTGATTCAACGCTGAAGCGTATGTTATTCAACGCTGAAGTGTATGTGATTCAACGCTGAAGTGTATGTGATTCAACTCTGAAGTGTATGTGATTAAACTCTGAAGTGTATGTGATTCAACGCTGAAGTGTATGTGATTCAACACTGAAGTGTATTTGATTCAACTCTGAAGTGTATGTGATTCAACGCTGAAGTGTATGTGATTCAACACTGAAGTGTATGTGATTCAACGCTGAAATGTATGTCATTCAACGCTGAAGTGTATGTGATTCAACTCTGAAGCGTATGTGATTCAACGCTGAAATGTATGTGATTCAACGTTGAAGCGTATGTGATTCAACGCTGAAGCGTATGTGGTTAAACGCTGAAGTGTATGTGATTCAACGCTGAAGTGTATGTGATTAAACGCTGAAGTGTATGTGATTCAACGTTGAAGTGTATGTGATTCAACGCTGAAGTGTATGTTATTCAACGCTGAAGCGTATGTGATTCAACGCTGAAGTGTATGTGATTCAACGCTGAAGTGTATGTAATTCAACGCTGAAGCGTATGTGATTCAACGCTGAAGTGTATGTGATTCAACGCTGAAGTGTATGTGATTCAACTCTGAAGTGTATGTGATTCAACTCTGAAGTGTATGTGATTCAACGCTGAAGTGTATGTGATTCAACACTGAAGTGTATTTGATTCAACTCTGAAGTGTATGTGATTCAACGCTGAAGTGTATGTGATTCAACACTGAAGTGTATGTGATTCAACGCTGAAATGTATGTGATTCAACGCTGAAATGTATTTGATTCAACGCTGAAATGTATGTGATTCAACGTTGAAGCGTATGTGATTCAACGCTGAAGCGTATGTGATTCAACGCTGAAGTGTATGTGATTCAACGCTGAAGTGTATGTGATTAAACGCTGAAGTGTATGTGATTCAACGTTGAAGTGTATGTGATTCAACGCTGAAGTGTATGTGATTCAACGCTGAAGTGTATCTGATTCATCGCTGAAGTGTATGTGATTCAACGCTGAAGTGTATGTAATTCAACGCTGAAGTGTATGTGATTCAACGCTGAAGTGTATGTGATTCAACGCTGAAGTGTATGTGATTCAACGCTGAAGTGTATGTGATTCAACGCTGAAGTGTATGTGATTCAGTGCTGAAGTGTATGTGATTCAACGCTGAAATGTATGTGATTCAACGCTGAAGTGTATGTGATTCAACTCTAAAATGTATGTGATTCAACGCTGAAGCGTATGTGATTCAACTCTGAAGCGTATGTGATTCAACGCTGAAGTGTATGTGATTCAACTCTGAAGTTTATGTGATTCAACTCTGAAGTGTATGTGATTCAACGTTGAAGTGTATGTGATTCAACGCTGAAGTGTATGTGATTCAACGCTGAAGTTATTCAACGCTGAAGCAAAGGCAAAACTAGAATTTGTGAAGAACTTTTAGATTTTACTTTCTAAATTTTAAGATTTGGAGAAAGGCCTTACAGTAGAGACTGAAATTAGTCTAATTATGAAAAAAAAATGAGGTTGTAAATTTTTTAAATTTTCGGACCGATTCTTTCAAAACCCGGTTCTGGTTGAAAATCTTCCCTTAAACTGATTAGAACACTGCCCAATATCGGGGCCCATTTGCATGACGGGTAAGGTGTCGCCATTAAAGTGGTGACGCCCTTGCTTTAAGAACATGGGCCACCCTTCAATTTGATTAGGTAAAGATCAAAACTTTAGAAATACAGACCAGGATGTTAACGTATCATACCGATCTTATACACTTCAATTTATGCCAGAATATATGGCTTAAATTTATGCCTTAAATATGTGTGCTATACATATATGCTTCAAATGTTGGTATCTTAACAACAACAAAATCCTATCCCTTTTAAAAAAGAAAAAAAAAAAGTTAAACTCGTAATATCTTGGGTTGTTTTTTGGGTTTTTTTTGTTGTCCCTGGGAAACCCACAAAGAATCCAAATAATAAAACTTTAATACTAAAACAGGATGGGGGTAAACATTATAACAATCGGGCTGGTTTTTTTTTATTTTGTTATTTCTACAATCATAACACGTGCTGGCATTTAAACCAATAGACGGTCTCTATTCCATTTCAATCTGTCACCTATAATATAAAGGGGCAAAGCGAAGTATCTCAGTTGTATCCTAGTTGGATTCTCAGGACTTAATTTGATTTGGAAATCATTCACTCAGGCGAGCAGCAAGTTCATTTTTATTCAGCGCAAAGCCAAGATTAGAACTAACATAAATTCATAGAACATAGAAAATTCATTAACCCGTGTTTACTATTAGAAAAAAGAATATCTCAGCTTGCATAGATGTTTGTTAGATAAAGCAACTTAGTTATTCAAATGTTTTAAAGCAAACAAGAAGAATATCGCTTGTCTCTTCTATACATGACAGTTGAGATTTTCGATACATCGGTGGATGATTAAAACGAGTTATATTTAACGAAGTGCAGTTACCTTGACAATTGTAATAGTTATTTCAACTTTCTTTGCAGACGGATTCAAGGTTGGAGAGTTTAGTTGAGAGAAATGATGAAACTCTCGACACCAGCAGCCGTGGGATTGTTTCTGAATGTTTATTTCTTGACAGAACGCATTCATGCGTTTACAGGTAACTTGGGCCTTTTAGATACCACGCACGGTTCAGGCACGGTAGAAATGACAGTCTATTGTTTAAACACACTTTCAGGTCTAAAAGATTGTTTCTGAAAACTTTAACTTTATTTAATCGATGTTTAGTCTATAGCACAGTACAGTGTTAGATAGTTAAGATCTAAAATATGCATACAATAAAAAGTGTATTTGACGCCAAAGTACGATAGCCTCTTAGGACAAAAATCATAAATCAGATATGCAGTAGCGATCTGGAGGGCGAAGGGGGCGACCGCCCAGGGCGACACATTTTTTGGGGGGTGCGGTTAGGGGAGGGCGGCTAATTCGGTATTTTTTGTTTTGAATTTCCTTTTGGAATACATAACTATATCGTGACGCTTCTATCTGATTTGTAATGTTAATACTCTTTTTTCCCCTTCTTGATATTTTCTAATTTTGGAATTTTAACTTAAAATTGAATGAACTAAACAAAAAGATTCCACATAAAATCAAAACAGCAATGCATAGGTTTATTTACTCTCGTTGAGCTACGTCATGACATCATTCAATTTGGAAAATTTAAATCACGTGTTTGCGTGTGGGCCGAAAAAGAAACCTAAAGAAATCTATAACAGTTCTACGCCAGAACTGTTAAAATGGCATCAGGTATAGTTCCTCAACATTTACTGATTGGGATAACGCCACTTCAGAATTAAGTTAACCTTTTCCATCATTGCAACCATTTTATAATTCATAGTTTTAAATATAATTGGCCAGGGTCTCATAGTCTACGTCTTGAAGATATTATAATGGAGGAAAAAATGAAGTTATTGCGTCGTGTTTCGGACATTTTTTCTCTCCAGATGTTTATTTCAACTCTACTTCAAACAGACAGAATAACCAAATACCTGAGATTTTCCGAAAGGTGATGAAATGAATTGTTCTTTTTTTTTCTTCTCAATGCGATATCATCAGAAAGGAAGGATTGTTGAGGACAGTTGGTTCGAAATTCGCAGCATCGCTCTAATGCTGGCATCCGCCCGTCACAATGTGACGATGGTGTGGGCTTCGGAGGACGAAAATCCACAAGGCATGGGATATTCTTCAGGGATTATGAGGTGGTTCCCAAAAGCAAATCGCCTCTCTCCACGCCGCTGGACAACCCAAGGGAACATCATTTTGAAGATACAGCTTGGAACCAGTAGCGTCGCAGGAGTTGTCGGAATGTTTCATTGTACCAATGTTATCCACCTTTCGGGACTCCATCTCAGGGTTTGATTTCATAGTTGCCTTCTCTTAGATGAGTTGCCATCCAAGGTTAACGAGTCAAATCTACCCGGGGTGCTGGTGATGTTTTTGCTTGACTGGGCTTTGGCTGGAATTGAACTCCAGACCACGAACTTGAGATTTCCTCGGCCACCCAGCACCCAGCTCTAATGACATTGATAAAAAAAATCAACAAAACTGTAGTTTAGAGTACCAACATTAAGTAGTCTAAAATGTTAGTAAAGTCAAGCCCCCCCCCCCTTTTCCCTTTGACTGTGAAGTGCTTTTATTGAGACCATACACACCTATCGCTTAGATCTATGTGTATAACACCACTATGGAGTTTCTGGGACCAAGCTCTGAAAATTAGCAGGGCTGGTTCGATGAAACAGGGTCGTAACCAAACAGCTGCAGGAGAACAAAAAATATCGAACGCTGTGCTCAATATTTTGACAACGTCCTACATAAACCTTCATCAATCAATAATGACGTCAAAAGACGTCTCCCGCAGGTGCCAATCAATCAAGAAATGGAAGAACAGCCACCCCCTAATCCAACAGAGAATCAACAAGCTATATACCTCCAAGGTAATGACTCGATCCCAACTGAAATATACAAAGAAGGTTATACATCTCTGACTGAATGACTTCACCAGCCTTAATACTTATATGGCAACAAGAGAAATTGGGAACAGTGAAGGTAAAGAAATTGGGAACAGTGAAGGTTAAGAAATTGGGAACAGTGAAGGTAAAGAAATTGGGAACAGTGAAGGTAAAGAAATTGGGAACAGTGAAGGTAAAGAAATTGGGAACAGTGAAGGTAAAGAAATTGGGAACAGTGAAGGTAAAGAAATTGGGAACAGTGACGGTAAAGAAATTGGGAACAGTGAAGGTAAAGAAATTGGGAACAGTGAAGGTAAAGAAATTGGGAACAGTGAAGGTAAAGAAATTGGGAACAGTGATAATAATTTTTAAACAATTTCACAGAGTGAACGTTTTGACCAGAATGAATTGAGCAATATGATCACTGATCATTGATCATATATTTGGATCATTACGAGGGCTGTTCTGAATTGCTTTCCTCCATACTTAAGGAAAAGAATGTATTTCAGCCTAGAAGAAACGTTACATTTCATCTTATGTGGGATTGTCCTGGCATAACTTAAACGGGAAAAGTCTTATTTTGGGAGCTTCATTTGCTTAAAATAATTGGACATTTTGTATCATAATTATGTGCTTTTAGTAGCCTATATAAGGAGCACATTCTCATATAGCACAATTTTCATTAAATAATTATTATTATGCTTCATGCCTACAAAATATAATAAGTCCAATATCTAAAACCAATAAAGCTGATAGCGGAAAACTTGAAGCAACCATTTTTAGAAGCAGCGGGTCCAATATACACCTGAAATTTCTTACATTTGAGGGACCAAATTTGAAAATTTCGAAGCCATATTAAATGGCGGATAGTAAAACTAGGCTTCTGTCCATAGAAAATTATGATCTAGAATTCTGTCCCTAGAAAAATTATGATCTAGAATTCTGTCCCTAGAAAATTATGATCTAGAATTCTGTCCATAGAAAATTATCGTGTGGCCCGCAAGAAGCAAAAATATAAAAAAATTAAAAATCCATTCAGCCCTATACACAATAAAGTTTAACCACAGCTTGTGTAGTCCAACTTTATAGTCAGGGTGTCTGATTTAAGGTACATTCAACCAGAAAGACCTGTCATCGGGTATTTTATAGACAAATGATAGTATAGCTATCTGGATATAATACTTTGACATGTTAGCATATTCTTATAACATCTATGAATATTAAATGTATCTAATCGATGCACTGCAGAAGAAATTTAGCATTTTAAATACAGTAGAACCCGGTTATGTCGACGGCCTCGGGGTTCGCCAAGAAAGCCTCGAGATAACCGAAAACCAATATGGTGGCAATATATTAACATGTGCCCGAATCTCTTTATGTACATGATGTGCGTTAATAAATATGGGTACTTAAATAAAAAAAAATAGATTACAGTTATTTAGAGCAAATTTCAAAATTAAAAAAATGAAACCAGAATCAACTTTTTAACTTTAGTACTTTTTGAGCTACGAATTTCGAAAGTGCGAGTTCGTTTGGTATTTACTACTATGGACGAAGCCTCCACATTGTGTGACCTCATTCTGCAGATCGTGTCTTGCGCAATGATTATGGTTTAATACCTTTTGCACTCAACAAACTCTTATGAATGAAGCTCTGACGTAGTTCCACGGTATAGCCATTATGTAGGTGACCGTGAATGGCTGCCCATGACAACGTTTTGCACACGGCAAATTATGATCATTTATAAAATGGACTCTACCTAGTTTTTAAACCTCGAATTAAAACATATTTATTTAAATTACTTCTAGGTTCATTGTAAAACATAAATCCTGTATTTTGAGAAATAAATAATTATTTTTAATTATGAAAAACTTGTTTATTTTTTTGTTTGGTATTTCGGCAATCCTCCGAAGTCCGGTCCCAAATTATTTCCAATGATTACTCCTTACTTTAAAAGTCTTAGGCATCATTTTGTCTTGAAATTCATGTTTGCGGTAGTGGACGATGTTGGGTGGATGTTGTTGGCCGTCGAGATGCACAAACACTCGAGCGCATTATCACTAATCACGTGTTACCAGGAACAACTACCGTCACGGAGGACACTTGGCGAGGATATCAGAATGTCGGTCAACTCAACAACGGGATTGATGCTCACGCAGTCATTGTGCACACGCGTATTTGTTGACCCAGTAGACAGTAGATCAGGACATTGACACAGAGACTATTGAAGGACTTTGGATGCAAGCGGAGCGTAAACTCCGCTATTAGAGTGGGACTAGTCACGGTCTGTTTGCCAGCTACTTGGGGGGCCTTTCAGTGGCGCAACAGTAACAAGCAGAACGTTTTTGGCTGCTATTTGCTATGCACCAAATACAATATTTAGTATTTACTCAATGATTTGTAAACTGGCAGTTATTTGCAAAAACTATGACTGACATTTCTGCTGCTTTTTAACAATGCACACTGTGCATTGCAATTTTTTTACATACGAAATAATTTGGGACCGGACTTCGGAGGATTGCCGCTATTTCTTCTGGCGGAGTTCAAAAGCCACCGATTGTTCATGGGGATCGAGGTTAAGTGGCATATTTGGCCGCCTTTGGAGATCGAGATATCAGTGTTCAGCGGCATAAAAGAATTGACATAACCGAGGAGAAAACGCTAAGTCAAAGAGAAAATTTGGCGGTTCCACTTCAAAAAACATCCACATCATAGGGTTGGCGAGTTAACCGAGGTCGAGATAAGCGGATTCGACTGTATTTTCATTGATTAAAATGATGCCATAGATGGGCATGTGTTTAAGATCATGTATGGGTTGTACGTTTTAAATCATTAGTGAAAAATGAAATCCTGTTTTTAGTGGTAATGGTTTATTTTGTTCATAGCGTGCGGCAATGAGTTGAGCGATCAGAGAGGTACGATTACATCACCAAGGTATCCAACTAACTACCCAAATGACGCCAACTGTAGCTGGACAATCACTGCCCCTCCCAATGAGATTATTGATATAAGGTAGGCATAAATTCAAGATAGCATCTCTCAATTGAGAAAAAATTCAACTTGCAAATATCAGGCCATTTAATGTCTTATTAAAAAAAAAGTTTGTTTCATTTTGAATCCCCATGTGTGCGGATAAAACAAAGAAAAAATATAGACCTCTCTCTTTCTCTCTCTCTCTCTCTAAAAAAAAAAAAAAATATATATCTCTCTCTCTCTCTCTCTCTCTCTCTCTCTCTCTCTATATATATATATATATATATATATATATATATATATATATATATATATATATATATATACACATGAGTATGTATGTATATTATATATACAATTTATTTACAGTTAATAGCATCGGACTAAAAAAATACAGATTAAAACTATACGATATTTAAATCAAGCAAATATTTAAACATTTTCAGCATCTTTTAATTAAGAAAATATTTAAACCTATTAAAATCTATGAATTAATAAGATATTAAAACATATCCATAATCTATTAATTAAGAAGATATCACAAAACGATCTGGAATAAAAAAAGCAACATTTGTATCCATTAGATTTTCAAAGCTTGACCTTGATGGATACGCTGATTCGTGTCCAGATGTGGTAACTGTTTTTGATGGAGCTGGACCCCAGGCAGCTCCCATCACACGATTATGCAGATATAAGGAACCAGATGAGCTGCAAGGCCTGCACATTCGCTCTACCGGCAATAAGATACACATAACGTTTACATCAGACAGTTACAACACAAGGCAGGGCTTCTTGGCAACCTACTGGAGCCACGGTACATTTCATTATGACCATAGCCTGGGAGATTTCTACTGATCCATCATAGTTTATAATTATATCAGTTTCAATTGATAAAAATGACTATAACTTATGTTAGTATTTCTCTAATGGTAATACGATGGGGAGACTGCAATCAGGTTAGAAAATGGCAATGAGTAAAAAAAAAAACACTTTACCTCTTGCTGTCCTCTCGAGGACAACATTTCAGCTGTGTTAATTTTATTATGTTTTTACTGTTGTTTGTTCGCTAATGAAGGCTTCTTGTCCACAAGCTTGTTGTTTTGTTGCGTTCTTTTGTCAGGTTTTCCCATAATTTATTTTGTTCATTTCAAGTTATTCTCTAAGCAGGAAACTTGTTTTTAACTCCAGATTACTTTTTTAAACTATTTTTTTTTTGCAACAAGTTCAATTTTAAAAGTTAAAATTATGTTCTTATTGTGTTTTCATTTACATTATTTTTGTATGCCTTTTTTTTAAAATTATCATCTTTTAAAATGATTCATTGTGGAGAAAAGTCCCATAACGTGAATGACCGCGAAAGCCAACAAGTCAGAGAGAGTATATAACCATAAACCTCTATTGTTTATTAAATATTGATCATCTCTACATTTCAAATACATTGGCTTTGAAGTAATGTAAATAATGTTTACCATCATCATATAATATAAATTTTATTGACACTGTTTTCAGCATGCCCACCTCTCAGATATGGGGTTGATGCTTGCAGTTTAACGTGTAACTGTGTAGCCAGCAACACTTTAGCCTGCAATAATGTGGCTGGTACGTGTCTGTGTAAGGAAGGCTGGACAGGGGCAGACTGCTCTATAGATGTGGACGAGTGTGCCAACACAGTGGTGGAACCTTGTCCAAGTTACCAGGACTGTTTCAACACAGCTGGGGGTTTTACCTGTGAGTGTAAAGAAGGGTTGGTGGAGACTGCAGATGGAATATGTCAAGGTAAGAAATTAAATATGACTTTTTGAACGAGATAATTGTCTAAAAAAAAAATAAAAGTTAACAATATTTTTTGTTTAATTTGTGTGGCTTGTAAATTGATCAACCCCAGTAACGGACATTTCACCACTCTGCAACAAGAGATCCAGGCCTCTACGGGGCTGCTGTCGAACTATTAACTGGGCGGCAATGAGCGCCCAGTGAAGCCAACAGAAACTCATGCAATACATCTGACCCCCAAGATGAAGGTGAGAGTTGCTTTGGAATCTCTCTCTGGGAGTGGGTAAAGAACACAGAGGCTGGTCACTATTCTAACCATTGTTAGTACAAATAATGTCATTTGCTGACTTTGTGCCCTGCACTGGATGTTGCGGAGGGGGGGGGGAGGCCAGGGAGTGGGAGAGTCCTATGTCACCACAATGTTATATGGCTCAGTCCAGCAGATGGAGCTTGTTGCCAATGTACTAGCTGGAGCTTGCTGCCAATGTACTAGCTGGAGCTTGTTGCCAATGTACTAGCTGGAGATTGTTGCCAATGTACTAGCTGGAGCTTGTTGCCAATGTACTAGCTGGAGTTTGTTGCCAATGTACTAGCTGGAACTTGTTGCCAATGTGATCTAAGACAATATTTTGTAGGGTAGCTCTTTTGTGTTAGAATGGAAATAACAAATGTTTAAGTATTTTTGTATATGATATTGTTTACATTTTTTTAAATGATGGGGAAAAATAATTTTTCACTTCAATTAGTCTAATTAATTTTTAAAAAAATCTTTTCAGTGAATGCAAGTAGCGAGTGTGGATCTAACACATGTTCACATTTATGTGTAAAACTAACCACTGGAAACGACACGCAGGTGTGCTACTGTCCAGACAACACACAGCTGAATGAGACAGACTGCTTAGGTCAGCTATGTTTTTGCTATTTAAAGCTATTAATTATACAGAAGGTCATCAATTAAAATATATTTCCAAATTACTAACACAAAAAGAAACTCAGTAAATTTCATCACAAGCTGTAGGTTGGTTCAATTAGAAAAGTATTTCAATCAGCTTTTATGAAAAATTGAAGAAAAAAAAAGAAATTTTGTTTGCTTGTCTAGAAGAATAGTAAATAATTTAAGTAATGAAAACTTAATAAACAATTTCAGCATGCCCTGGTCTAACCTATGGTAAAAACTGTGAGAAGACTTGTGGCTGTGACAGCAGTCATGGAAAGTGCAACACCGTAACTGGGGGATGTATCTGTGACGAAGGTTGGACATCCGCCAACTGTGCAGTTGACGTTGATGAGTGTGCTCTCAGTTGGGACTTGCACATTTGTAAAACCCAACCCAATCAGTTCTGTGTCAATACCATTGGAAGTTATCATTGTAATTGTTCTAAAGGGTTTGAAGAATCAACAAACAACACATGTGAACCTATTGGTAATTTGATATTCACCATGATTCAGACCATTTTAAAATTATGTTGATATCTTAAATTACAAATCATACTTGACATGAAAACAGTTTCAGATTCCATTTTTCATCTCTTCAGGTTTTATTTTGTGAAAACTGTTAAAGAATTTTTGAAAGAAAAAGAACAAGAGATAAGACAACATTAAAGACTAAAATTCTCAGTTAGTAGCATGGCATTTAAGATTGGTGGATTGAAGTTCTGAGTAGTTACCTAAACAAAGAACTAAGATAAATGACCTGATTTCAGTGACATATATTCAAACAAATTGACAAAGAAATACAATTAAATTATTAGCAAAATACAATTATTTTATTCACAAGAAATTCACAACCTTTATTGAAATGATAAATATTTAATTATTTGTTTGCCAGCTTGCAATGAAACAGTGAACGCTGCAACACCAGGTAGCATACAATCCTTTTACTACCCAGACACATATTGGCCAAATGCCTATTGTACCTGGACTATAAGTGATGTGGTACCCAATAAAATTTCTTTACAGTAAGTGAACATCAACTTAAATGGTTTTTTTAGATAAATTTTTGGTTCAGTATATTTGGATGACATTTTTTATTTGTAACTATGTGATTGAGTTTGTTTCATCCATATGTGTCCAGAGTGATCAGCCTTCCTTATGAAAATGCCTATTTCAATGGAGTTTGTACTTCAGACTACATGGAAGTGTATGATGGGGGAGATTCCGGTAGTCACCTGCTTGGTCGATACTGCCAAGATAAACCTGTACTGGGAACAATCAGATCTACAGGAAACATTATGCATATTGTTTTTAGATCAGATAGATTTGCTGAGCGGGGCTATTTGAATGTACAATATACTGGCTACAGTAAGTTATAAATCTGTATGATGACATCACTCTGTTAATCTATTTTTATATATTTACATACTACAACATATCTACTGCCCTTCCCTACAACCATTATAACTTAAAACAAAACTTTTCCAATTCACTATTAAACAAATGCAGGATTTGTTGTGGCTGGTATTAAGAGAAAATCAATCACGTATTGTGTTCTAAGGGGGTCATGTGCACTTATTTCTAAAGAATTTCATTTTTAAACACTTTTCTCATAATTAGAACTTATGTTTCCTTAACAGTTTCTCATTTTTTTTGTTTTGCTGTCAAGTATTTTTACAAACATGTTTATAGTTTCTTACTGTATTTAATATTCTGAGTAAGCCAGGTGGTCTTATCAGTTTCATATAGTCCTGTGATATAAAGGATTGGCCTTAAAGATATATCAAGATGAATTAACTTAAGGAAAAACAGCATTTCCCATTAACTTTCATATTTTCATTGTGAATCCAGATCAGCTAAATGCCCCACTTAAATGTGAATACGCTCAAAATGAGAGACACTATGCTTTCATCTTTTTAATTTTCTATAAAATAAAAATAGCAGTTTTAAACTGATAAATTTGTCTGACTGTATTTATGACTGTTATGATTCAGATTATCCAGCATGTAAACAAGACCTCACTGTTTTGAATGAGCGGCAAATAATCCAGAGCCCCCAGTACCCAGGCTATGAGAATAACATATTCTGTTACTGGTTGATCAGAGGAGGCATCGGTAACATAATCTCACTGAGGTCAATTGTTGTCCATTCATAAATTATCTATTAGTGAACTGCAGTAGGGCTTGATAAAGGAGATAATAGGAGACACAGTCTAGTTGTATTTGTTTCCATTAAGATTTTTGAGGGCAGATACAGTTCACTTGTGTTAGTTAGTATTAAGGTGGTTTGCATACTGTCATACATTTTGCTTTATTGAACTTTTGGATTGTCTTTCAATATTATCAATACATAAAGTGCCACAAAAAATTTTTCAGATCAATTTTATTTAGGTATGTTAAACTCAAGGACCACAAGCAACCAGTATTAAATCTTCTTAAGTCCTATTTAAAAAAAACATGGAAAATTTTAAAATGAATTGAATGCTCATAAATATTTCTGTCTAGTGAATTACAAGATCCTTGCTTTTTTGTAATAAAAAATCTTAATACCTTGTATTTTTGGTTGAACAGAACAAAGGATCTATTTGTGGACACAAAAAATTCGTTCCTAGCCGTTTATGATGGCCAACATGCTGGAGATCGACTGTTGGGACAATATTTTGGCACATCCATACCCAGTTTGATCAGATCAACTGGAAGTTTTATGTATATTGTGTTTCAGTCAGAAGGAACCATCACAGGAACTGGATTTAATGGAACTATTCATGCCCAAGGTTAGGAAATAGGATTTGTTTTATATAAGCGATACCCACATTTTTTTCAAAGTACACACTTTAACGAATTATTTATTATTTTTTTGCTGTTTCAGCAAGGAGCAGCATGTAGAGAAAATATTATTACATTAGGTTATGGCTTAATCATGCCTATATTTTTTTTATATCTAATTTTTATGTAAAATGCACACAAAATATTTTTATATGTCTCTTTTTTAAAATATTTATTTCACACATATTAATCTGGGCGACAAAAATAATGTGCTGCTGAAAACAGTTGTTTTCTGTAGATAATTGAGATATTAAAACAAAGGGACGAGATAGAATTTCCTGACATTCAGAGAAATAGCTTTAATTTCTTAATGGATGAAACAAAAATAATAAAATATCACCTATTAACTTTTAAAAATATTATTTTACTTAATGACATAATATAGAGATTAAAAGTTACCATGAAAATAATATATTAAGAACATGATAAGTAGCAGCTTCAATAACAAAACATAACAATGAATGTATGTTTTGGGAATGTTAGCAGACCTTTTATCATAATAATATATAACTTATTTAGAATAAGGCCAGTAATTTGCTATTTATTTATGAGCTGTTTGAATATTTAAGGTTAAAAAGAAATTTTTTTGTATCTTTATCCAGGGTGAAAGTAAAATTCTTGCTAAGTTATGTAAATTTAATATAAAATTCTTAGAAGAATTTTTCATTCAAGCTACTGTATATTACTCAGTGTTTTAATTTTCTGTGATATAAAATTTAAGGCCCCATATTCAGAATACAATTTTTTTCCTTTATTTTCTGCATAACATAAATTTATAATTTCAATTTTACAGACTGTCCCAACTTCTTTTATGGCCAAGATGAATGCACTAATCCCTGTATATGTAAGGTAACTTATTCAGAATACAATTTTTTTCCTTTATTTTCTGCATAACATAAATTTATAATTTCAATTTTACAGACTGTCCCAACTTCTTTTATGGCCAAGATGAATGCACTAATCCCTGTATATGTAAGGTAACAAACACTGCAGAGTGCAATAATATTAATGGCGCCTGCTTTTGTTTCCCTGGATGGACTTCCACTGATTGTTCTGTAGATATTAATGAATGTGAAAATCCAAACATCTGTAGACGTACTGAGAAATGCATCAACACACCTGGAAGCTATAGATGTGTATCAGGTAAATTTAATATTATACAGTTTTAAAAGCCTAAAACGTTATTGGTTTTTATGTTTGTGGAGCTGTAAGAGCTACAATAAAACTTACGAAATCTTGTTGCTAAGCATGAAAGTGGTATATGTGTGGCTTATGTTGCTATTATGTTGGGAATGAATCAACAGTTTGTACAATTTTGAAAGATAAATAAAATATTAAAGCAGCTGATGTAGTAAATGGGCTTACAACAGTGACCTCTAGGAGATAAAAAAAAAAAGTATGGAAGAGTTTGGGTTAATGAAAAAAGAATGGTTGTTATTAGCCCTATCATTTATTAATATTCAACAATAAAATCTAGTGTGTTTACTATTAAAATATTTGATAATTCAAGTTTGTGGGACCCAAGAATGTATTAATCCAGTTTCTATTATTTTAAGGAGGGAAAATTGTCTTGGAACTCAAACACTTTGAACCCAAATGGGTTTCTGGAATGGATTAAGTTCAGCTTCCAAGGTATCATTTACTTAAAAACATTTGAACTTATATTTTTCTATCTCTCAGATTGTAATAAAGTTTTCTCTGGAATAACTGGCAACATTGAAACCATCGATTACCCTGATTATATTCTAGACCTGGCTACATGTAACTTCACCATAACAGCAATGCCACAGGAAGTTGTTACATTTAAGTAAGCACAGTTTAGAAAAAATTAATAACTGGCAACATTGAAACCATCGATTACCCTGATTATATTCTAGACCTGGCTACATGTAACTTCACCATAACAGCAATGCCACAGGAAGTTGTTACATTTAAGTAAGCACAGTTTAGAAAAAATGATAATGCAACACATTTAAAGTTTTCTAAAAGAAAAGGAAAGTCTCTTCACATGCAATAGAAGGAGCTATTACAGTACTTCCATTCGTACTGCAATAATTTCTAATATAAAAAAAAATCAGAATATGTGGCTCAGATATTATATTTTAAATACAACTGATTTAAACATACAATATTTCAATGATTACTGTGAATTACACAATTAGTTATTGAAGATAAATTTGTTTTAAAGTATATTTTAAAATGTCAACAAGCCAAAAGTGGTTGGCCTACAAAAACTTCATTTAAAAAAGTAAATGATGTTTACCATGGTGCCTATTAAAAGTTATAGGTACCACCCTTTCTAAAATTTAAACTGCAAAAAAAAAACATATTAACCAATTTAGCAATTTAAATTATTCAATTAAAAGAAAGAAAACTTAGGCCCTTTTTGATAATTTCTAAAATTTGCTCTCAAGGATTGAGAAGGGGGATTTCACATTGCTAGAGACCGCCAACTGCAATTTGGATTGGCTTGAAATATATAACAACCAAGTAACTCAAGAGAACATAATTGGCAGATATTGTGGGACAAGGCTTCCTAATATTATCCGAACCACTGATAGCAGTATGAAACTCAATTTGATTACAACGCTGGCAGCTGTGGGAATGACAAGGAAAGGTTTTCGTGGTCGATACTACACCCACAGTAAGTCAGGACAGTTGTTTTTTTAATTCTTAAATCATTTTTTTTTTTACTTATCATCTGTCATATGATTTTCCCGGTTTTAACATTTGCCACTCTGAACATTCATCCATGAGTTTTTACCTGATTTTTTTTCCTGTTTATTCCAAATTTATTTAAAAATGGTGACATTCAAAAAGTAAATGTCAATCAGCTTAGGTCTTGGGAACCATCCATACATAAGATCACATTATTTAGGCCGATGTTTACCCCATCCATCCCCCGTTGTCACAAAATTTAAACACCCTTTTGGGACAAATTTGTGATTCCCCCCCCCCCCCCCCGGGCACCCTTTAAAAAAAAAAAAAGAATTAATTTTTACATGAAGTCATTTATAGATGTTCCCTCAGTATTCTTTAAGATTAAAGCACATTGGTTCATTCAAAGTTGATTAGCAGTTGATTACTGATTATAATTGAAAAAGTATCTTTCAAATAACATACATTTCAAGTTACTTACATTATAATAAATATTTCAAAGCGTTTTTATTCTTTAAGAATGGATCATTATTTCAAATTTCTGTAGAGCAAGTGGTAACATTATTACATGTAATTTTATCTTCTTTTGAAATAAATATATTGGGAATTCATATGAAATATTTTCCTCTCCTACTGATTAGCTTGCCCTGCCTTCACATGGGGAGTAACCTGTGACCACCCTTGTGACTGTGAAAAACTAAACACTGAGTTTTGTGACAACACCAATGGCATCTGTGTTTGTAAGACAGGGTGGATGGGTGATGATTGCAGTGAAGATGTTAATGAATGCAGGTTCTCTGGTTGTTCTGAAAATGAGATTTGTCAGAATACACCTGGCTCATTCACCTGCATCTGTAAAGAAGGATTTAATCGTGACACTGCTGGACATTGCACTGGTATATTAAATGCATAATTTGATGCATAATTATATAAATAACTGAATAAGCCCATGAATACTGATATTAGCTGTACTTATATATAACTTGCTACATGGACTATTTATTGTTATCTAAAGTCATGCATTCCATAATTTGAATTATAATTTTTTGGGGTTTAATTTCTGTGGTCTGGAATTGATTTATTGCAGCATAAACTGTTACTCAAATTAAACTGATAGTTTTTTTTTCCAAACATTCAAAATTTGTTGCCCTTTAAAATCTGGCAATAGAGTCCTAAAAGCCTAGTACTGGTTGAGAGACTAACACAATGGGAAGCCCTGATTAAATCTAATTTTTATCAGTTACAATTATTTTCTTCCTTTAAAAACATTTTGAATAATAAAAACAATCCTTTCATTTAAATTTTTTAAAACAATTACACAAATTAGTTTTTTTCTAATTTAGCATGCATATAAAGAGCTATGTAAACTTTGATCCAAAATTTATCTCAAAGTTTTTGAGAAATTAAATGTAAAGGCATGGTCAAATGACAAAAAATTATGCAGACTATTTAGTCATAATCCTAAGTACCAGTTGAAGAGATGTTTTAACTCTGTAACAGTTGCATGTGACTGCAATTATTTGATTTACATTTTTGTTTCTTTTCTGACAACTTCTTATAAATTTTATAGTAACCCCCTAATCATCAAGGGGATAAATTATAAAGTAATTATGGAACAGGCAATGAAAAATAAATAACAGGAAAAATAGATATGATTCAAAGGTGATATTTTAACATTTTTAAAATAAAATGAATGATTGCATATCATGTGGCACTCTGAGAGTTAAGATTTTACGATGAACAGATTATAGCTAGCCAAATAAAATTTTCCTTATCAACATTAAATAGACTTATTATCAATTGCCAGGTGTAAGAGCTACCTGTACAACAAAGGTGAAGGCATCATGTTCCCATTCCTGCTACAAAAACATTTTGACTGGTCTTGATACTTGCAGCTGTCCTGATGAATTGGAACTTGGACATACAAGCTTCACACAATTTACTTGTGTTAGTAAGTAGTTGGGACATACAAGCTATATACATTTTACTTGTTAGTAAGAAGTTAGGACTTACAAGCTTTATACAGTTTACTTATGTTAGTAAGTCATAAAGTTCTTTTTTCTACATCCTCATTTTAAAAATCCTGAAATGTGAATTAACTCTTATATTGTTCATGTCATTGTTTCATGAATTATATTAAACGTTACCTTAAAAATTGTATTTATTTACAGTACCATATTATCCATATGGCAATACTGCACATGATTCAGACTTGTCCCCAACAAGTGCAGATGTCACTAAAGTTGGTTATGCATATGTGAACAGAAATCCAATCCCATTCACTTCAGGAGTTCCATTTGGGGATAGTTTGAGAACCGAGGCTTATGTAAGTTTATTTGCAGAACAATCTATTTCTTTTAAAGTTGATGTCGGGCCATATGCTATAAATGACTATGTCCATGTCTGTTTGGAAGCCAACTTGGTTTATTTAATTTATATAATTTACTCTTTTACAATACTCTAAGGTTAAGATGGCCAGGGAATTGTTTGAAGCCAGTATTTTTTTTTAAAATTATATTTTTAGCAAGCTTCTATATTTACTGAGACTTAACTGGCAATACAACTATATATACATCTGATGTGGCTGGAGACCTCAAGTCATTCAGCTCTGATGTGGTTTGGGGCCTCAAGTCATTCAGCTCTGATGTGATTTGGGGCCTTAAGTCATGCAGCATTGATGTGGCTGGGGGCCTCAAGTCATGCAGTATTGATGTGGCTGGGGGCCGCAAGTCATTCAGCTCTGATGTGGTTTGGGGCCTCAAGTCATGCAGCACTGTTGTGGCTGCGGGCCTCAAGTCATGCAGTATTGATGTGGCTGTGGGCCTCAAGTCATGCAGCAATGATGTGGCTTGGGGCCTCAAGTCATGCAACACTGATGTGGCTGGGGGCCTCAAGTAATGCAGTATTGATGTGGCTGGGGCCTCAAGTCATGCAGCAATGATGTGGCTGGGGGCCTCAAGTCATGCAGCGCTGATGTGGCTTGGGGCCTCAAGTCATGCAGCACTGATGTGGCTGGGGGCCGCAAGTCATTCAGCTCTGATGTGGTTTGGGGCCTCAAGTCATGCAGCACTGATGTGGCTGGGGGCCTCAAGTCATGCAGTATTGATGTGGCTGGGGGCCTCAAGTCATGCAGCAATGATGTGGCTGGGGGCCTCAAGTCATGCAGCACTGATGTGGCTCTTGGCCTCAAGTCATGAGCCATGCAGCACTGCAATAGCTTTACAAGTTGGTTGATGTGTTTTCCAACTTTCTGGGGGGTTACTTGTATTTGTGACTATCACTCACTGTGACGATTCATCCATTTCACCTCGTTTTACCCATTGCTGGTGATGATCTAGGATGAATTTTTACCATCCTATCATTTGAGAAGCAAATGTAACTAATTTTTGCACTTGTGCAACTGTTTTATTTTATGTGCCATATCATTTGACCATTCTAAAAGCACACCCCAAATTGTATTTAGCAATTTTTTTTTAGCTCAGGACTATGTAAACAAGCTGAAGAAAACTGGGTATAATTTGCACATCAATTATATTTTTTTAAAGATTTAAATTATGCATTACACGAATGTTTTTACTTTGAAATGTTATTTTTGTTTAACTGACCAATTTGGAACTCTCCAGATTTACAGCAATGGCATAATTGGCTTTGATAAATTTGATTGGACAGAAGAGCCTAACCTTCAGGAGGCAAATGACAACAAACAGGATCTGATAGCAGCATTCTGGGCCAAAGTGAACCCCTTGAATGGTGAGACCTTCTACCACCTCTATGAGAAATGTGAGCCTTCAGTTTTTAATGAGCCTGGCCAGGGTAAGAGCTCGCCATTCAAAGACCAAGTGATGGACAGGGCAGCCAATGATGTCAAGCTAGTTTTAGGTGTGCATGACTTTGATGTTCAGACAGTTCTTGTTGTCACATGGAAAGGTCTGACAAGCTATGAGAGGGTACGTTGACAATTTATGAGAGAGCATGTTAACAAGTTATGAGAGAGAATGTTGACGAAGTATGAGAATGTTGACAATTTATGAGAGAGAATGTTGACAATTTATGAGAGAGTATGTTGACAATTTATGAGAGAGAATGTTGACAATTTATGAGAGAGTATGTTGACAATTTATGAGAGAGAATGTTGACAAGGTATGAGAGGGTAACTATTAACTTCACTCCAGTTGCTTGACTTAACACATAGTTTTAGAGAATTTTTTGATATTCAGGGCACTATATTTCAGCCATTGCTGGTAAACTGTTTTGATAAATTTAACACAAACTTTTCCAAAATATCTCAAAACATGAATTATTTAATACTAGTAGCAATGTTAAGCTGTTGTCTATACTAGTAGCAATATTTTATGTTAGTGACTATTCTTGATGATGAATGATTTATCTAAAAACTAGCTATAAAGCCTCGATGCTTGAAAAGTATAGACAGTAAAAGTTGTGTTTGTACTTTTACGCGATGAAAGCAAAAAGAGTTACCTTTAAGAGAAATTAATTGAAGTTTTTCAGCCAAATAACATATACTGAAATGAACACCAACAGACTCAGTATAACTTTCATGTGAAATACATTTAACAGACTGATAACCTTGTGAACACTTTCCAAGCCATCTACATTAGTGGATATCGTAAGGACAGGAGCACCGATGAAAACTTTTCTGGTGAATTTTTAATTTTAGCTTCAGTCTGTCAGTTTTCGCTGTGATCAATTATGAATGCCTTCATGTCATGTGAAAGAAATCTTAAGAACAAACTATATTGCAGCTTGAACAACAGTCAGCAATCTAATTTAGAATTAAAGTAAAAAGTAATTTTTTGTTTTTAACGTTAAGTAAAAAGGGTCAATATGTTTTACTCTAACAATGTGACAAGTGGCCGTACATTTTATGATGAAAAAAAAAAGTTATTATATCACAATAACGTGTAAAATAACTAGTTTTGTAGTAAAAATTTGAATAATTTTCAAAATATTTCTCTTTGTAAATCAAAATTGTAAAATAAAAATCATCTGTGAAATTNTGTTTTACTCTAACAATGTGACAAGTGGCCGTACATTTTATGAGGAAAAAAAAAAGTTATTATATCACAATAACGTGTAAAATAACTAGTTTTGTAGTAAAAATTTGAATAATTTTCAAAATATTTCTCTTTGTAAATCAAAATTGTAAAATAAAAATCATCTGTGAAATTTATTTGATGTCATAGTGCTTAAAATATAATGTGTAGGCTGTATTGACCAGACAGCATATGGGGGAATAAGAAGAAATTATTTACTTTCACTTGTTGATGGTATTTAAAAGAAATAGAAGATTCCACTAAAACTTAATTGAGTGAAAGATTGACTTCTTAAAACATTTTTTTTTTTTGCAGATGAAGAGACAGCCTATATTTATTTCATCTACCAGAAAGGTCAAATGCAATGGCTTAACAAAAATGGCAGGAAAATGGAAGTAGGGTTTGTGGCCAGTCCATATACATCGGCTACAACAATCACAATCACAGAAAACTCATTTAATTTGAAGGAAGGTATTTAACAAAAACATTTTTACTTCAATTTGCCAAGTAGTTTTAAAATATAATTTCTTTTAACGAAAAATAATTGTGTCATTAATAAAATGATTGCCCAAGAGTAAATGTCTCATGCCTGATATTTGATGTCAGAAGATACTGGTCTACCTTATTTGCTTGTTACGTGGTAAATGTTATAAACTTGGTTTCCCACCCTTGCTAGATATATATCAAGCCTTCTATTTATTTATTTTATTATATTAAAACTTCTTCACTCAGCAAACTACTTGGAGTCGCTCATGCTTGAAGTTTCTCGACGTACAAGTCCAACTCAAAAATGCCAAAATCATGTGTGCAAGAATTCCCGTCTCATTAACAACTTTCCATACAGGAAAGAGATCCAACAACTTACTACTTGGAGTCGCTCATGCTTGAAGTTTCTCGACGTACAAGTCCAACTCAAAAATGCCAAAATCATGTGTGCAAGAATTCCCGTCTCATTAACAACTTTCCATACAGGAAAGAGATCCAACAACTTTATAACTGCCCCTGTGCATTAGGTCAGCTAGGACTGCAGTGGAGTCTCTTTGAAAAACGTGGACAAGACATTTACTGCTTTGCTATTAGTCCTGTGGCCAAGAGGAGGCTACTGCAGTCCAATCCAAGAAATAAGGTATTTAGGGGCCATCCATAAATGATGTCACACATGTAAACAAGGGAGGTGGGGTCATTAATTTGTGATGATTTACTATTAGGGTTTATGTGGATGTGATGGTGGGGAAGGGGAGGGTCCAAAATTAGGTGAAATCCTTTATGGATGGCCTCTTATGACTGATTAGTTATACTGATGACTGAAACAATTACAAAAATGATTTTCTACAGTCTGTAATACTCATCTCATTGAGATATCAGCAATTAATGTTCCATTGATCTATATAAATGTGTATGTCTAATCTGTTCATCTATAACATCCTCTCTGTCAGTTGCATGTGTTGCCTTCAGAGAAGAGGCTACTTCCTAACTTGTCAAGTTTTAAAAAAAAAATATTATTGTAAAAATTAAAAAAAAAAAAGTAATTTAATAATGCAGTTGTAATATTTAGAAAATAAGGATGCTTTGTAGTTAATCTAGCAAATGCATAAAATATGCCACTTCTTTCTTTCTATCTATCTATCTATCTTTATCTAGCTATCTCTCTCTCTCCATATATATATCTGAGTGTCTTTTGTCTGTCTTTAGACCTTCTGGCTTTCGTCCGTCCATCTTTTTTCCATCTGTCAGTCCGTCCATCCATCCATTCAAAAATTCACCCATCCCTGAAACCAGCCATCTATATCATAGAATGTGCAGTAAATATTAACAAATGAACAACAAATATAAAGACATATTTCTTCATTTATTGTCTTAAGGTAGTTTGTTGATATCTCATCATTTATTTTAATGTTTTAAATACTTGTAAAAAAGTTCAAATGAACTTAAAATATTTGATAAAAAATAAATTTGGTGAGATTGAATCGAGCCTAGTTTTTTGTTTTAATTAGCATCTGCAAGTAGAATAAATGTACTGGGAAAAGAATTGTTTTCCAAACTCAAAGCTTTTCTCAATGTTCTCCCTCAGCTGTGTTGTTACCGATGGAGTCAGCCTGCACTAGACAGTGACTGGAGAGTCTGGGCTCAAGCCATAGCTGTGTCATCTTTCATACACAAGACATCTGATGCTGGACATATACTGGTTGGAGACCGTGAATGGTTCAGAGGCGTCCAGGAAAATATAGATGCCCACCAGTGGTGTTGTAAAGATTCCCAGAGCTCTATTATGTGTCATAGATTTAACCTGATCTACCCAGACTTTCAGTGCTCATATGATGTGACATTTGTGCCAGGTAATGAACACAGTTTTTCCTCATTTCTTTTACATGATTGATGGCAATTAATGATGTCCAAAGCAAGCAACACCAGAGGTCCTAAACACAGTTGTTTCCTTATCTTGTTTGGCGATGTAGTTAATATATTGTGTTCAAAAGAGGGCTTAATTTCCTTCTGGATGAAATCAAACAATGAAATATTTTCTTGAGTACTAGAGAGGAGACACCTAAAAAGACACCATTCTTTGGTTACAGAGAATAGTCCTTCCAAGATAGCTCCAATGACATCAATGTTTAGTGACTTTTAAAACACCTCTCTTTGGTAGTAGATAGTAGATACCCATAAGAATAACTATCTTAGATTGTAAAAAGTTCAGCCCTATATAGATTCCTCTTTTGGATGGTGGAGTCATGCACTCATTGATTCATTTAGGAAAAATTTAATTGTGCAAATTCCATATAAATATAAAAAGATTTAATAACATAGTAGCCTTCTTTAAAATTTTTGAAACAAAGCATCAAATTGTACAAAATGTAAAAAATATGTAGATATTATTAAGCACTAGTGGATAAGCCAATTCTAGAAACAGTGTAAGTTTGTAAAAATGCTGTAAAATAAAATAATATTTTTGTGGAATGTCAAATTTGCAGAATTTCCATCCACAATTTTACTATATGTAATATTCATTAATAGCACACCCTGTAAAATAATACCCCATATTGAAATTTTAAAAAATTCATATTCATCAAGCTGTGTTACCCTGGCAAATAAATTACACATATTTTATATGTAGTTTGCTTTGTCTTGTTACGAGAACATTTTATTGATTCCAGTTTATCTACTTGGAGATCCCCATATAAATACATTTGACAATTTAACATATACCATGAATGGAGAGGGGGAGTTCACTCTGATGGATGTCCAATCTGTCAATTTTACACTTCAGGTAAGCTTTGTTTGGTCAGTACTCAGTACTGTCAAGGCTTGTGCCCATATACTGCAGTCACACTAAAAGTGTGCTATGTTTAGTATTACTGTACTTTATTCTAGATATTATAATTAGTCTGAAAAACTACATTCCACCACACATATTGATTGTTGTGATTAGTAAGTAGTGATGGATGTTGGGATGCACTTTGAGAGTTCTGTAATATTGATTAAATTATGACCATATCTAATTATGAATTGTTAAAAGGGCCTCACTGCGGTCACAAGGTATGAAAAAATTAATATCCAGCTTGCTGAATGCCACAAAACAACAAACACTAGTTACTTTCCAAACTTCCCAAATTAATGCTTAAAAAATTAATCGATTATGCGATTTCTCTTTCATTTTACTTATTGAAGTTTAAAAAGTTCAGAATTGTGCCCCAAATATTAATGGTGTTAATTTTCTTTAAATACTTTAAAGTAGGTGATATTATGTCATAGCCAGAAAATGTGCTTTTATGTAACATTGTTGTTTTCAATTTTACAATGCTTATGGTCTTAAAGATCTAAATACTTTAAATTTTTTAAGGCACGTACCAGCAGAATACTTTCAAATCAAGGAGAGCTGACAAATGGCACAGTTTTCACTGCTTTTGCTGCGCGGGAAAGGGATTACGCAAGATTTCAAGTGGAGATTTCTACCAATAACAAAAGTGAGATTTCATTTTGATCTAAAGTTGACAGGAATCACTGGCTTGTTGACAGGAATCACTGGCTTTTTGGCAGGAGTCTTGCAGCCATTTTAGAAATTAAGTTAAAAATTTATTTGAACCTAGCAATCAACAGTAACAGTCTGCAGTGTGATTTCAAATGTCAAAGTTAATTCATTATAATTCTTTATCCATTTTTTCTCCCTTTTTAAAAAGTAATTCTCTCATGTATAAAATAACTCTTCAAATGTAAAAAGAATGGATTGAAACCTTTACAACCAGGGTGCAACATTCTATGAATAAATAGGTCTTTAAGTTTTAAAAAATTCATATGCTCTGTTAAATATTTAATTACTTCACCCAAATATGATTTGCTCATGCTTAGGCCCCATATAGTTAATGTTTAGTTTAAATAGTTTATAGTTTGATCAAAGTGATTCTTTCATAAGAGCTCTTCATTTTTTCGTGCATTACCTTTTTAACCACAAAAAGCAAAATAATACATTTTAAAACAATTCTTAGAAAGGAAATGTTCAATCTTCCTGGCCAAACCATAATATGCACTTAGAATTTCATAAAAGTCTGACTAAATGAAATCTGATTATTTTAGCAATGGTCATCTTTCTGGATGGTGTTAACATCACATCAGACTTTTACCTTTCTGGAACTTTTAAAAAGTCGCTGGAATACATAGAGCTCTCTCGTGACAGTCGTTTCAACAAAACCAAAGTGGTGGCCCTATTTCCATGTGGTAAGATGCCTTTAACATCACATCAGACTTTTACCTTTCTGGAACTTTTAAAAAGTCGCTGGAATACATAGAGCTCTCTCGTGACAGTCGTTTCAACAAAACCAAAGTGGTGGCCCTATTTCCATGTGGTAAGATGCCATATTTCCTTGTAGTAAGATGCCTTATTTCCTTGTGATAAGATGTCATATTTCCATGTGGTAAGATGCCCTATTTCCTTGTGTATGATGCCTTATTTCCTTGTGATAAGATGCCCTAATATCCATGTTGTAAGATGCCTTGTTTCAGTGTGGTAAGATGCCCTATTTCAATGTGGTAAGATGCCCTATTTCAATGTGGTAAGATGCCCTATTTTAATGTGGTAAGATGCCCTATTTCCATGTGGTAAGATGCCCTATTTCCTTGTGGTAAGATGCCTTATATTCTTGTGTTTAGATGTGATATTTCCTAGTGGTAAGACGCCATATTCCCTTGTGGTAAGATTAACATGCATGGTAAAGGATTCTTTTGGGGATGTAGAACCAATAGCAAACTTTCTGATTAATATAGTTTGATTGATAAAAATTAACCATGGAACTAAAACATTTCAGTAAAGTTTTTGCCACATGTAACAAACTTTTAAAATTTATTTCTACACATATTTCTAGATTTTGTTTAATACATTATTTTATTAAAAGTTTGAGCTGGTTTGTAAGGTAGATGATAGTTTAATATTGTATAATTTGCTAGCTGAAACTATCAGATTACTTTGCTTAAGTATGTAGTTTTTTTTTTTATTTCCAGGAGTGGCTATTGAAGTGAATGTTGGAGTCAATGGTTTAGAGTTGAACCTAGAAGTGGACAAGGAACTGAGGGATAAAACTCGAGGTTTACTTGGAAATTTCAATGGTCGCCCCAATGATGATTTTCTTCTTCCTAATGGAACTGTCCTACCTGCTATTATGACAGAGAAAGAAATCTATAGAAATTTTGCTACACAATGTAGGTTCTTTTATTTGAATGTCTGCTCTCTTAATAAATTTTCTATTTATTGCTGTAATTTCTGGCTATTTTTCTTGGAAATGTTGACGGGTTGGTATTGTAAAATAATATTTTGAATTTTCAACTATGTTATGTAGTTTGAGATCCTTCTTGTAAGTGATAGCTTTTTACAATTTGATAAAAATTATTTTACAGATCTAGTATCAGCAGCCACATCAGTATTTTTCTACGCCAAAGGACAGAGTGCTGCAGACTTTTATCATCCTGAATTTATCCCTGTGACCAGAGACACCCTGAATCCCAATGCAACGCTGTTGAAAACTGCCACAGATTTATGTGAAGGACAAGAACTTTGTATTTATGATTACTTAGTAACAGGGGATGCAAACTTTGCCAACAATACAAAAATGACTTGGGAGTTTTCTATAGCTTCAAGAAATGTACTAGGTACTATTTAAGTTTATTTGTAACCATATTAAACCATACTTTCCCCAGCAGTGGTTTTGAAAACCTATAAAAATGATAACAGTAACTTGAAGTATCTGACTAAAATAAGACTATTAAAAAAATAATAAATTTTGCAGGAAATTTGAATAGGCTAATGGACATTCATGCTAGAGTGTTTTTTTATGTCTTTTTCTCTGCTTTTAAACAAGTTAGGTTTTTGCATAATTTATTACATGAAACAATCTGCTGTAAATTTTTGCAAAAATTAATATAGAGTGGTACACAGATATTACAGGCACCTGTTGGCAGGAAGGAGTACAACATTCACTTACAAATCACATTCCGCTAGCTTACTTAGGGTTTCCACTTATGAAATATAAATAAACTAGGGCTTAACCAGATGCAGTTTTTTAAACTGGGTCCAGTTATTTTGAGAAAATACCCTGTGGGTTAAAGAGTTACAAAAAAAGTTAATTTCTCATTTTATTTAATATATGCTGGTCTTTCATCAATTGACAGACCTACACCCTAACTTTCGGTCTTTACACAATAGCCCTAACAACCTAACACCATAACCATTGCTCTTTATTGATTAATATAATATTTGCCTCCCACTAGAGAAAAAATCAACCCTAAAGCTTGTTGCATGACAGTTTTTCTTTTCACTCATTACTCTTAATATAAAGCATGTAGAGTTCGGGGAGGGCCAGTTATGAAGAGGAAGCAGGACACACCAGATGAAAAATATATATGAGATTAGATGAGATATGAGGGAAACAGAATATTTTTCTTTGTATTAAAAAATAGCATAATTTTTATATTAATTTCATTTTAAAATTCAAATACACAGTGTGATATATTATATTACATACATAAAAGTTTTAATATGTTTAAAGAAAAGAAAAGTGAAATTTATTTAACACAACTTTTCATCAATTAATATTTTTGCCCTTCTGTTGACACTCTCTAATTGATCATGAAAAATGTAACACAGCAAATTCTATTTTTTTAAATAAACAAAACAATGAAAGAATTTCATTTTATTTTTCCTCAGAAAACACCATTCCCCGTGTTGAAGTTGTCCAGAGCAGTGGTACATTTGTCAACAATCGCTGGTTTGTTCAGGAGGGTGTTGCCAACACATTGAGGTTTACAGCCACTGATCAAGATGGAGATTTGCTGACATACTTGCTGGATGGCAGCCCTAGAGATGTATCTATCAACCAGAGTGGTTTCCTTACATATTCACCAAACACTTTAGAGCCTGTCAATATAGCGTATGTGAGGTTTTATGTTAGCACCCATAATCAAATAAGCCGTGCAAACTCATTGAATTGTTTTTTAGCAGGCTATTGTAAATCAGCTATTGTGTCCGACACTAGTTGGCATAGAGGCTACAAATTTGTTACATAAGTTCAAGCATACATCTCTCTATTTCAGTGAAGTTATCTTAAATTGAGATAAAATATTTTAGAAACTAAACTCAACATGTAAACAAAACAATAAATCTCAAGACCTTGACAAGATTAATTTTTAAAATTTAAAGCAAAAATACGTTATGAATAAAATATTTATTTTCTCAGTGTACGTGTCAAGGATTCAAAGAATGGTTACTCCCCATGGTTGTATGTTTCTACATTGATATGCCCTCAGTGTAACAATAATGGCACATGTCAGAGTACAAATGCACCCAGGAAAATAGAAAATTTCTCTGGACAAGTTCAGATTTTAAAGTGTACCTGCCTAGCTGCCTTTATAGGTGAGACATTTAAATAATTTTTTTAATAGAATATGCGTAGAAGATTACCATTGACTCTTTAAATAAATGCTGGAGTACATTTTAATTAGCATGAGAGTAAAATCATGAAACTTAAATAGATAGCAATTAAACAAAAGGCATGATAACTTTGAGTGGTCCTCAAACGTTCAGGTGATAAATGTGAGGCTGAGAAGGATGCTTGCAAGTCTAAGCCCTGTGCCAAGGGACAGAACTGTACAGACCTGACAGCTGCCCAGCAAGGAAACAGTTCCATAGGCCATGTGTGTGGACCATGTCCCACTGGCTTCGAAAATGTTGAAAAAAGATGTACTGGTTAGTGAATATAAAAATTATACACATTTTTCGTTTTACTGACAGTGGCATAAAGTGAAAAATTAGCAACAAATAGAATTTGGTTTATAAATATGTATGACAAAATAAGATACTTAATTTCCCATGAATTCTGCATCTTTTTATTGAAATATCAGTATTTGATTTGTGGTATATCCTGGACAGCTCTGTATTAGGAATATTAGTAAATATACTTTTACTTATTCAAAATCTTCTACCATTATTTTTCAAGTATTTCTTTGTTTTAATCTAACTTTCAATGGCTGATTAGCTCTTAAAAGTAAAATTTACATACAGATAAAGATGAGTGCAATGGTACCAACGTCTGTGACCACATCTGTACTAACACAGAAGGCTCTTTTATTTGTAGCTGTGAGATTGGCTATGTCCTTAGTCCATTAGACTCAAGGACCTGTTTTGGTAAGCCTTATACTTTTACAGATATTATGGATCAGCATTTTCCCATACTTTGTCTAGTGAATATTTTTCTGGATTACAGAAATTAATCAAATTGGTGGGGAAAGAATATTTAACACTCAATTATTAAGGAATGATATTGCATTTTTAGGCTAGTCATTCAAGAGTATACAGAACAGGATGAACATACATAAGATGGGGCTACTTCAAGTTATTGATATGTCACAACTATCTTTACATATATACTTATATCAATACATGTTATACATAATAATGAACAAACTACTCTGAGAAGAAGAAATTTCAATATAGAGGGATCACATCCTTAGATAGATAAACGTAAGTGAAAAACAATTACATATCTCATAGTATTTTTATTTGGAAACAATGGGCTGATAGGAAATTAAAAAAATAAATTCATGATTGTAATAAAATATTCTGGACTCCCGAGTTTAAAGATATGTCTTCAAATCATTGAATGACACCAACTCTTATTTATTGAAAGCTAAAAAATATTTTTTTTTTAATTTCTTGCATTCAGCAAAGAACTGCTCTAATAGATGTGTGCCAGAGAATACAGAATTCTGTAATGAACCCTTGAGTCAATGTGTTTGTAAAGCTGGAATTACAAGCAATGACTGCTCTGTACTGGACAGCTGTCTGAGTAACCCTTGTCCAAACAACTTGCTGTGTCAACGGAAAGCTAACGGCTATGAATGTTTGTGTAGGAATGGACTGCCAGTAGATGCTGTGAATGGATGCAGAGGTAAAATTTACTTTTACTGTACATAATATTATTCTTAGAATAGATGAAATTGATTTTTTAAACTATATTTAATCGGACATTTTTTTCTTACACTGCATGTTAGAAAAAATTAATACTATTTAAAAATATTTCCAAGAGTGTTCCAAAAGAAGAGGAAAATTATATGTAAAACATACCCCTTTATTTTTTATGAAGATTGTAACAGAACACTAACAGCAACATCAGGAAAACTCATGAGTACCAACTACCCATCAAACTATCCTGATGAGTCTTATTGTACTTGGACTTTGGTGTCTCAGGAAGTCAATGCCATTATCACATTGAAGTAAGTTATTGTCAGATTGTTGCAAAAATTAAATGTATAATCAAAATTATCTTAGCAGTTTATTAAAAATTGACTCATAATGAATTTGAAAGCAATTTAGATGTAATTAGACATAATTCTTCAGTATATACTAATTGATTGTCTGTATTTAAATTAAAGAATTACAAATTTTGTCTGCCATGACAAATTTATTCAGTTTTTCATCATCTTATAACCTTATTTTTCACTGTACTGGAGGAAAACGTCACGAGGGCAGAAACATTTTTGTTTACTCAATTAGCTGTTTGGATATAAAGGGTTAATGAGAAGTTTTCAGCAGGAATAAAATAATAAATACAAAAGGAATATAATATAGCATTCAATTCTCACTGATTTTGGCTCAAAATGAAATATATTTATACAATGATGAAGATCACACTGGCTTTTAGAAAGAGAAACACATAAAAATAAAGCCATGCTTTGTAATTAATAGGAATAATGACTAACTCTAGTCATTGATTGTGATATAAAAGATATTTAATAGAAATTTAAATAACGATTTTTAATACTGCAGTTCTTGATTTACAAATGGATTTGTAAAATGGTTTAATACTCAAAGTAGTAACTACCACACCAAACTGTATTAGTATTAACTAATGATATTGATGAAACCATACTGCTTCTAAATTTAGATGGCCTGAAGATTTTGATTTTTAATGGAACAATAGGGTGTAAGCTTTGTGTTACCAACTTTGAATTTATTGAAACTCCAGTGTTTGAAACATGTGTCTTGTGCAAAAATATTTCTTTTCTAAACCCAGTGAAAAACTGTACAAAAGCCTGTTTAGCGGTACAACTTGGCTAATGTATAAAAACTGTACAAAGTAGTAGTAGGATTTAAAGTTGGCATGTATGAGTACATCCAAAATTAAGTAGGTAATATCATGGATAAAACTAAAACTTTTAAATATAATTTAAGAAAACTGTTTTTAAAAACTTGCAATAAATTTATTGTATAGCATCACAGACTTTGAGATGGAAGGATGCCCCTTTGACTACCTAGAGGTCTATGATGGTTTGAACACTCATGCAAATTTGATTGGTCAATACTGTGAAGAGGTTCCTAATACTATTGTTTCCTCTGGAAATGCCTTGCATGTTGTCTTCACTTCAGATTCATCTGTAAATCTAAGGGGATTCATAGCTTCTTATGTAGCAGAAAGTGAGTTGGGAAGTGAATTATGTTTTGTTTTTTTAAATTGTTAGAAATCAGCAGATTGCAAAATGTTCCAACTTTTTGGTTATTAATTTTTAATATTCACATTTGCTGAGGTGTTTTATTTGTTTAACCTTAGGTCAATTAAATTGTGGTATGAATTGGTTTAAAACTTCAAGGATTCAAGTTTATTCTCTGTTGAATTTATTTTACTTAATATTTTAATGGTTTTATTTTCTGATGAATTTAAGCAAATGGTTTAAGATGTTCAGTAGTATTTAGGCTAAATATCTATGTATGTAATTTATCTCTGAATATCTTCCCTTTATTGTAGAAGTTGACTAGACTTAGAACTGATGTAGGATTAGGACAAGATGTGATCTTTGTGTTGCCAAAACAACTTTATTTTTTTTCAGCACGATGCAGAATCAAACAATGCACTCACACTTGCCAAGTTGTCAGCACTAACCCAAGAGTTGAGACTTGCATCTGTCCGCCGTGGACCAGACTAGATCCCCGCAACGACACCAGGTGTCTGGAGATAAACGGTAAATTCTATACTATGCATTAAAAATAGACAAACATTCCTATTTTGGTGCTAGCAAATTAAATAATTTATTCTGGGCTAACTATTGTACTATGTTTAAAAATGTTGTTAACAATTTATGCTTTTCCATATATAGCATTTCAGGTATTCATCCCCAAAATATAAAATGATCATTCATACGTTTCTGCAGTTTGTAACTCAACTGTAGCAGAAAATTCTGGCTACATAGTAAGTCCATCCTACCCACAGAAGTACCAAGCTAACGTTACTTGCAGCTGGTACATACCAGCTTCCCAGAATGCACCAATCACTTTAAGGTACATGACAATTTTTGTAGGGTTTACTTCATGGTGTCCAACAACAAATCCTGACATTGTTTAGATCAAATGCTATATTTTAAAACTGCAATACCTCACACTCAATACATATAAAATTTGGGCTGCCTAAATCAGGGGTTCTTAAAAGGGGGTGCAGTGTCAGGGAAGACCCAGAAAATAAGGTTTATTTGAATGTTAATTTTAAAAAATCTTCTTTAAGGGTGCGGGAAACATGTTTTGAAATCCAGATGAGGTGCTGGAATATTTTAAACTTAAAAGTTAGAGAATCATTGGCCTAAATGTTGATGCCAAACAACAAAATTTAGTGTCCTGTGTTAGTTCTTCTTGCTTTAAACTATGTTTTTTAAAATTATCATTTCAGATTTTCTGATATAGATATGGAGAGTGGTACAGCATGCTCCTATGATTCTGTCACTGTGTACAGTGGAAATTCTGTCCATAGCCCATTGCTTGGTAAATTCTGTGGTAGTGCCCTACCCCAAGATGTGATGGCATCAGCTGTGACTGGCATGTACATTGTCTTCAAGTCTGACCCAACTATCGGTGGAAGAGGATTCCAGGCCCTGTTTTCTAACTAGTTTAGTGCACCTGCTTTTAATAATAGCTTAAATAAACTCGGTTTAAAAACTCTCTTTGAATAATCTTTGAATGCTCCATTATTTGACATTCTTTTTTGTTTTAAATTTGAATTATGGAAAAATTTAATAATCATGATTTAATTTTTGCAGTCATTCATTGTATAAATAATCTGATGTTTTGTTTAAAATTGTATCCCATTTTTACACTTGCCTTGTTTTTACTTTGGTAACACCATTTTTACAAAACAAATATGTCAAAATACACACAAGTTTCTTAAGAGACACTTTCAGCAGTTAAATTTATATAAATAATATGATATTTTGCCTAAAAAATGTATCCAATTTTTACATTTGTTTTTACTTTGGTAATACCATTTTTATAAAACAAATATGTCAATTACATAAATATTTCAAAGGGACATTTTCAGCAGTTTAATTTGTCATGCAGTTAAAATTTTATGGTACAATGTCATATTAATATGTAATTTTTTTTGTATTCCAGAGCTTTATATTTCAATAAATGCTTCATATAATAATTGTTTGTGAATATGATTTGAAAAGAAATGTCTTGTAATGTTAACTGTTGAATTTAGTTTTGAGCTACCTTTTAAAATTGCTGGACAATATTTTAAAAAACAAAACAATAATAATAATAGTTTAAGTTCTGACCTGCACATATTTCATGAGGGCTAAATGCCAAAAGGGGGATTGACCCAAATGACCTCTGGATCAGGATGATGGTGAAACAGTTAAGTATACATCCTTACAAAACAAACTGATCAGCTGATGAGTCACAAAACAAGTATCACAATAATATTGATCAGTGTTGTGTTTTATTGTAATCAATTTAATCTTAGCATATGGGGATTAAAACATTAATTAAGGGTCTCTAATATTAGTAACTATTAGTTGACAGATAAAGTATAATCCAGTGATGCATTAATGTATCAGATAACTCATGGTGATGGATTGATTCAATATGTCAGCACTTGTATAATTACCTGTTGAACCTGACAATCTTTTAATTAGATAAATTGAATATCAGAGATTTTTGCTTTTAAAGAAATAACCCCCTCTTTAATTTTGTGAAAAACGGGTTAGCATTTTTTAAAGGGGCTTAACTGCATAGTTATTTAGTGATGTGTTTAAAGGAGAAAAAGCATGCATGATCTAAAACTAAAATTAGTAAAATGAAATATTTTAAAGTTTTCTCTCTTAGCATTAGTTCAGACATAGGTCAAGAATTACTTGTATATTATTTTAAAATCCTTAATATTAACTTCATTTTTGTTCATTTGTTTCTTTCTGGCGGAGTGGCACAATCTTCGGATGGCTAATTGACCCACTTCCCATCAACCTATCCAGTTGAAACTTGGCACATAGACTCGTTGCTGATGACAATGCATTCCATCAAATTTTCAATTCTAACCCTAAGCCACTGATTTAAAGAAATAAAATTCCTAATAACCGCTAAATGAGATTCTTTAGAAGAAATATTACAAGTGCTTTTGGTGGATAATGTTTTCTTTTGTTTACTGAAATACCTGGTTAAATAAATCGGCACAGTAAAAGTGGGTGGGACATTAGAATATTAAAATAAAATGCAAATAAAGGATTTATAACTTTGCTTTTAGTGTTTGTTAAATTTCCTTTCAGTAAATTATTTATATTACTAATTAGCACCTGGAGTAATCTATATATATTTTGTTAAAGCAAAAAGAAAGTAAAACAATGAGTATATAGCAGTGAACAGGTTTATTTGTAATCCATCACTCCACAAATATGAGTCATCTACATAAATATTTACAGTGTCATAAAGAACCTGTATTGGTTTCATAGTAACATTTGGTTTATAGGAAAATAAGCATGGAATCTTTTCATTCTATATACATACCACACAGTTACCTTAACAAGAATGAAACAGTTTCTTTTATATACATACCACACAGTAACCTTAACAAGAATGCAACAGCTTCTCAAATAAAGCCATTGCTAGCTTTAAGTTAGATACGAAAACATTATCACTTACAAAACATCCCATACATTTGTTTAGCAGTTCTATTTATTATGAGACCTGACAGCTTGCCAAACAACTGATACAATTTCCTAGCACTATTGTTGAATGATGTGACTGGGGTTCTTATGTTATCGATGACGTCTCCCTCAGTACCAAAGTAGGCAAATGACAATAAAACAAAGTGCTTGCAAATAATTGACATACACTTATTTATATCAGCTTTGTGCACTTTATAATAACTATGAACAAGCTTGTGGAATTGAACATGTTTTATAAGAAAATGAATTAAACATCTTCTTCTTCTTATATTCTTCTTATATTTGAGGGGCCCACGATCAATTTGTTGATCATTATGGCTCCTGGTTTTAATTCAGAGTTTGCCTTCTCTTAGATGGGTTGCCGTCCAAGGCTAACGAGTCCCATCCACCCAGGGTGCTGGGGATGTTGGCTTTAATGGGGATTGAACTCCGGACCACTGGCGCCACTGCTATTTGGTTTGAGACAGTTTAGACCGCTCGGCCACCCAGCTCCCATGTCGGAAAATATTTCACCAATATTTTTTTTCTACAGGTTGCCTGATCAGTGTAAAAAAATAAATGTTTGAATATCGGAGATTTTTGCTTTCAATTAAAAAAACAAACTATAACAATATAACTAGTTATTTTGAACTGATGAATTCTTGCACGGACATTATTACAAGCAACATGTCTAAACACACTAGCAACATATGAGATCCTTCATACCAAGTAAATAGAGTTAAATATAGCATAAGCTAACCATTGAAATTTTGAAAAGTATGAAATTACTATTAATATGATTCCATCATACTGACATGACAGGTCTACTTGGCCTGGGGTCTACTGATGGACATATGATGCTATAAGAAAGATTGTGACAGCCCCATGTGGCTTGTGGCCAAATGATGGCAATGATGGACATATGCAATTTAGTAAACATTTTGACAGGCCCATGTGGCCTGTGGCCACATGGTACTATAATAACCATTGTGACAGGTCTACATGGTTACTTTGAGAAAATTCTATTTAGCTAGCCATTATTATAAATGGGTATAAGTGAATCAATGCATGGTCTATTTTTTTATTAAAATATAAACAATTTTAAATCATAAAACATTGAAAAATTGCTGCCAGAAATAAAATGAATCCATTAATAAGCCATAAATAAAACTATATCAAGGGATACACACAAACTAAATTCTAATTTAACATTAACAATTTTTAACAAGCTGAAACTTTGATGAAGACACTTGTTATAATAACTTTAATTTATTTACTTAGAAAAATCATTTCATTGTAATATTAAAAAATATTTTTTTTGGAAAAAAAACCCTCTTTAAAATGTAACTTTAACCATAAATGGTAAACAATCTATGATAATAATTCTAACAAGTACACTGTTTTACAACTAGTAGATGAAAGAAAAATAAATGCAAGTTAAATTTACTTTTGCTGTGAATATACTTTAAAAAGACTGAAAATATTGTAAGGTTATTGTAGAGACTCTAAAGCAACCACAGCTACCACACTTTGAATGTGAATTTTTTCCCCTTCAGTAACTTTTTACAATAAGTACATTTATAAATCACTTGTGTCTTAGCCTAGTGCAGCTACAAGAAGTACATTTTTAAATCCTCTTGTATCTTAGCCTAGTGCTGTTACAAGAAATACATTTTTAAATCCTCTTGTATCTTAGCCTAGTGCTGTTACAAGAAGTACATTTATAAATCACTCATATCTTGTTTGATTTAAAAAATTATACTTTATTCCAATCTCCCACATCATTTTTTTATAATTAACTTAAAAAAAATATTTTTGCCTCTTGTCAGACACAGTGAATATTCCAACTCGTAACAGACAATCCTAGGGCTAACCAAGGGTGTCATTTCAGGTTTTTGCAGGGCGCGGTGCAAAACCAAAACTTGGTCAGCTTGTTAAGTTGTTAATTACTGGAGGCGCCACAGTACATAGCAATTTAAATAAAACCTGCCCTACCTAAATGACATCCCTGGGGCTAACTGCAAGACTCCGTAACCTACAAAAAAAGAACCATAAACAAGACTATCTTTTTAGATCTAGTTAACTTTAGCAAGATTAGCAGGACTCAAAATAACTTTTAACATGGCAAAACCTATTAAAATAAAAAGTGTCCTTATTTACATCATTGATGCACACTTTTTGTTGTGTAGAAGCAAACTAACAGTTAATATGTTTCTATATAAGGGGTCGTTTGCAAATTACATCACGCTCAGGGGGGGAGGGGGGGGTCAAGAATTTGTGACAGGGGGGAGGGGCGAGTCAAAAAAAGATTGTGACGTCACGTTTTTTGTTTTTTTTAAGTCTAAAATTTTCTAATTTTGAACAAATCTTTAATTAATTTTTTAAAAATTAATATGAGTCATGAGCTCAAAATTGCCTCAGGTAGTATACGTACTATGAAACTCAGTTTTCTAATACTACTACATCTTAATCCATTATGGGAAAATTTTAAAGAATAAAATGAAATGAACATTTTATGTATGTTTTGAAAATTTAGGTGTTACGTGACACTTGGGTGTGTGTGTGGGGGGGGTGTGTGTGTGTGTGTGTGTGTGTAAGAAAAGGTCATTTTTAGCGTGATTTACGAACGACCCATAAAACAAAGCGTTATATTAATTTAATGTCTATAATAAACAATATTTAAATAAAGTGTACAAATATTTAAATGGGAACATAGATTATAGGTTATAAAGAATTCAGATATAATGAATTTGTAACAAGTAGAGATATTCACATCACAGAAGAACTACAGCTGACATATTGCTCAATGATGAAGCTGACATATTGCTCAATGATGAACAGCTTTGTGGCAGTTACAAGTGATTATTCACAACTGATAGTCAGGCCATCCTCACAGGTGCTCATGTCACCCTGACCCATAATCATTCTGATCACCCTGACCCACATAAGGTTTCATAGAAACGTTAAGAATAATGTGCTCATTTCAGTAAAAATGAGTTTTTTCAAATAAAAAAAAAACAGAAATTTTTTTAGAAATGGGAACATGTTGTATGACATGTTGTATGACTATAAGTAGTTGAAGTCTTTAACAATCAAGGGACAGACATGAACGTGGTGATGAACATTGTTTTGGGTTGCTGACAATCTGGAAGTGGAATTTTGTTCGTCCAAAATTGATTTAAATATTGAAATCAGGAAAAGGATCAGACGAGGTTCAGAAATGTGTAGAGAAAAAAAAAAAGCCATTAATTGGACTAAGTTACCGTTAAAGAAACATTAAATATAATCACCAGACTTAAAAGAAATGGGAAACAGAATTTTATCTTTCCCTCCAAAAAATTTTTACAGCAAGAAACTAATCTAAATAAACATTTCAATAAAACTAAATGATTGTGTGTCCCCCTCATTCAATAGGCACGATTCTGTATCGCCTTCATTCAGTAGTTATTTTATAAAAAAATAATTTGTTAAAACGACAGCAGGGTCTTCAACATAATACATTTGAGACAAAAATGTATTTAATTATACAATCAAAACATGTCTCACTAAAGAACATCATGTGAGGCACAACAAACAATTGCGCCCTAAAGAGCTGCTTTAACTAACCCTACGGTAGGTTATTATTATAAATATAATTTTTGAAAGGATGTGACGGGGGCTCTCTTCGGGGGCTCTCTTCGGCCACCAATGAAACAAAAGTAATCAAATTTCAAAATCATGATCATTTGTTTGCTTGTTTAAGATGCAGAAGAAAATTGAGCCCCTTGATCATTTAGATTAGTTTATCAGGCCAAACCTCAAGCGCCAAGGATGATGAGTTCAGTGAATGGAAAAATCTGATGATACCAGTCAAACGTTGATTCATTTCAATTCTAAAATCATTAATGTCAATAGTAATACTGCTATTAAATGCATCCATTTATTGACTACAAAATATATTTATGTAAAACAATATTTTAAGAAGTTTTAAACAGTATGAACTATTGTTTCCTTTTTCCTCTAAATGAACATATGATAGGATCCTTAATAATGATTGGCTGGTTAAAAATGTCATGAGGCAACAAAGTAGCTTCTAATGAGATCTAAGGTAAAACAAATTTCTGGTCCCAAGTCAGTTAACACTGCATACCTTAAGATTCTCGGACATTCAAACTTCATCTTTGATGGAATCATTCTTTATTTCTTTAAAGTTGAATTTCATTTTTTGTTTGTTTACCTCATGGAGCTAGGTTAGTTGGTCATAGTTAGTGTTTCTTAGACTGAATCATTTGACCAAATCATGATTTAGGTTAGTTGGTCATAGTGTTTCTTAGACTGAATCAAGTATTTGACCAAATCATGATTTAGGTTAGTTGGTCATAGTAAGTGTTTCTTAGACTGAATCAAGTATTTGACCAAATTATGATTGGCTTGGGTTCAAACTTTATTCTCACATGTCATTAATGTTAGATAATAACCTAACAAATGATACCTGCAATGCACTATGAACAACAAGCTGGCTAGATAAAAGGTTGTTGTGTGTTCATGGTCAATGAACTTGGAGGATGATACCCTGTAGAGGTATATAGCCAGCAATAAGATTAAATAAGAATGAAATAGCTCAATCAGTACATGAAACAAAATTGAGTTCAAATGACACCCTTTTTTTTTTTTAAAAAAGTAAAATTACAAATATTTAAAACATTCCTATTGAGGATTTCAACAAAGTTCAACACATTAGTTAATCTACCAGTGTTTAACCATGTTAGTTGATATTGAAGCTCATAGTCAGCTCAGCATTATATGATGGTAACAAGAGCAAGCTTGAAAATGAACCATAGTTTGTTGTTCAAGTGTTTGACAAAAGGGAGATTACTCCAAATGACTGGCAGAGATTATTTATGTCTAAATGAGTAGAGCTTTAATACATGAAAAATGTCATAGCATTTGTCACTCAATTTAATTTTTTTTTTTTAAATGTACTTAAAATAAAAGTATTTCTCACAAATTAAACGTTTTTCTAAAGAAAACAAAACAAAAAACCTAATAAAATGTACCACCAAGTAAGGTTTGTAAGAAAATAAAAGATAGCCCTTTCTACCTCACTCAGATTTTGTACAAGACAAAATTAAGTTATGTTTGATCATTACATATTGAAATTTTGGTGAAGAATTTTTCCAAGAAGGACATTTTGTTTCAAGTTTCACACAAAAGACATATTTTTTTTTACGAAGACCATGAAACTGTGTGTTAGCTCTAGTCATTTGTATGGTTTAAAATAAAAGAATTACATGTCTGATCTTTTCGGCTAGATCTTTATTGGTAAGACAATCAGCATTAACCAATGCCCAGGACAAAATCTGGGTTACATACATCCATGCATATAATACATTCCTGGCACTGGTGAAGCATGTATTTAATATAAGTAAAACTTTTTAAAACAATGTCAACAGATCTGTCACATTGAAGACATGACATAACATAATCTTATGGTGTTTGACATTATAAATTAACTTTGTTTCTAGGTTTGTAAAGTCAAACATTTTTTAATGCAAAATCAATGAAAGAATTTAAAATAAATGTTAAGATGAAAAATTGTTCCAGCAACAAATATTTACATATTTTCAAGGCGGCAATTGTTCACAGTTGCCCACCCAAATTTAAGCAGATGTTAACAAATATTGAATGATCACAGGCTACCAGAGATGCCCTCAACATGGACACCAAAAGATGCTTTTCTGATGCATCACAGGTTCACTTATCATTCACTATTGACATACTCACAGCATACACCAGTTGTATGTAGTAGACTGCCCATTCACTCAGAGATACTTACAACATACACCAGTTGTATATGTTGACTGCCCATTCACTCAGGTATACTTACAACATACATCAGTTGTATGTAGTAAAATGCTTGTTCACTTGGAAATGCAACATACACCAGTTACATGTGATAGATATGCTCAAAATAACATAAGCAAGCACACCGTGGACTCATAGGTTCTAACTCACATAGTAGTGGTGAGAAATAACCAGACTTGTACAATGTAGCAAAGTTGACCCAACACGACCCCTGATGCATGTTGACTTTCCAGATGACAAACATAAATTTATGGAAAGTGTAACAAAATTTACAATGAATGTTGTAACAATCCAACCTATGGCTGTTACCAAATATAAATACATTTTTTTAGTGAGAGAGGGAGAATTCAGTAAGCTATTTATAAATCCTACCAATGTTTATTAATTTTTTAATTAACTGTTAATCTATTCATCTATGCCCAAATGTGTCCCCTTCTCATGGTCACAAAGACTTGGTTAGCCAGCTTTGACAGTCACAATGACTTGGTTAGACAGCTTTGACAGTCACAAAGACTTGGTTAGCCAGCTTTGACAGTCACATTGACTTGGTTAGACAGCTTTGACAGTCACAATGACTTGGTTAGACAGCTTTGACAGTCACAAAGACTTGGTTAGCCAGCTTTGACAGTCACAAAGACTTGGTTAGCCAGCTTTGACAGTCACAAAGACTTGGTTAGCCAGCTTTGACAGTCACAAAGACTTGGTTAGCCAGCTTTGACAGTCACAATGACTTGGTTAGCCAGCTTGGTGACAGAGTTCATAAAATACTTTTAAAAAAAACAAAAAATTATCAAACAGTCTAAAAATTGTTTTTCTGATGGCATAGGAACCAAAAAAGTGAACTTAAATTAGAGTACATGCGGCAATGGCTTAAATTAGAGCACACACAGCAATGGCTCAAATTAGAGCACATGCAGCAATGGCTTAAAACCAGTCAACGGACTTTCACTTCACTTACATATGACAGTGGCGTTTGTGCACTCTGAGAATATTGTGCATGTCCATAAAAAGAGAAAACTAGAAAAAAATAATAAAAATGCTTTAAAAAAAAATGCTTGCAGAAACAAACTGCTGAAATACAGCCCGCTATATAGAAATCTAACTAGAGTAGTGGATATGTCAGAAGACATGGAGAACAAAATTTACTATACAACTGCATACTTAAATTATCAAAATGCTTTAAAAATTTTATTTTTTTTAAAAAATAATTCTGAGAAGAATAATACACACTACATAAATTTTTTTTTTTAAAACCCAGCAAGAAATCAATAAACTAAAATAAGGAAAAGTTAACATAACCATTACATAAACAACTGAACAGATTGTGTACTGTACTGTGTGCTGTCCAGTCCAAGTATACAGCCCTAATCGTACATGTAACTCTATATGTGTGTCGGATTTAATTTTTAAGAAATTAAAAAAATTGCACTGGTAGAAAATACATGTCACGTCACAAGATCTAATCATGTTTTAAAAATTTGTTGTAAAGTTATTAGGTTTTTAGTGTCTCTTGTAAAATTGCGAAAAACTGACTTGTACGTTTGGAGAGCTAGTGACTTTAAGAGACTTACACTGGTGATATTATATAACTTAACATAGTGTACAAGTGTGCTGTCTAGGTACACAACACCCTATATAACTGAACAGATAGTGTGTGTACAACCAAGGTGTGCCCAGGCCATCAAGATCAATAGACATCATAGAAAAATATAAGGACACCTCACCAACACAGAATGTGTGCGCCTGTGTAGGCCAACTAACTTGTGAAAAAAACTGATCTAAATCTATATAATCCCTTCTTGTGGGCTGGTGCTAAAGCAGTGCCTTGAGCAGCTCACTCTACATTGTACCAATTCAATATTCTCTCTCAGTCTCGAACACACACTCCTTAGGTAAAAATTTTAACAAAATTAACACCAGTTCTTTCAGTATGTAAGCATCTTATTTGACATGCCCAACTTTTTTTTAAACTTTCAAACTGAAAAGTGAAGTTTTTCCAAATCACATAAATCCAGTGGTGGTATTTTCTGAACTTACAATCAAACAGGTCACTATTCAAAATGGACAGTCCTTGTTTACTCGCAGATGAACAAGAGATATTGTGATTTAGAAAAAGACACAGCAGTTTATCTGCTTCTCCATTTCACTGGGATTCACGTCTTTTTTAAAATTTATATATATATTTATAATTAATAAACAAAATAATCAATTCCCTCAGCCAGAGCATTCAATGATATATTGACAGTGGAAATGTTCAACAAACAACCTTGTACTACAATTAACGATCTCCTACAGTTTTTAAAAGTATTCTGTATTTGTCACCACTTTCATCTGAAAAGGATTAAGAAGATACATGTGACAAATGAGAATAAATATATCGGAATGATATTGGTGCTAATGCTAGCAGAAGAGAATAAATGTACTGGAATATATTAAAACAGACCTGTTTACCCTCAAACTCTTAAAATCGTACAATATCATCACAAAATCTTTCAATACATTATCAATCTAATAGTAAAAAAATAATCATACAGTATATTGTATAAAGTATACACCTCATAATCGTACATTGTACGCCAAAATCGTAAGAGTAAACAGGTCTGTTAAAAGCGTAATTAAAAGTAAGTTTTCATTTGCAATAAAACCCTGAATATTATCAATTCATAATTAAACAATTATAGATCAAAATTAAGATTCAGGCAGAATTTGAAGATATTAACAAAAGCATAATGCAAGTTCAGTTAAAATCAATGTTACACAGACATTACTAAGAGTATATGGTGAAAACCTGAGATACTAAAAAAATTAATTCCCTAATAAAGGAATTTTTATAGGACTAAAAAAAGATGTAATCCTATTCAGTCATTCTAACCTAGGCATAAGTAACTATTCAATGTCATAAAATGCCAAAAAAATCCTTGGTAATACCTTTCATTCCTTCCACAACAAATCTTGTTTGATCCTGTATGTTCTGTATCACCTGAAAAAGAAAAAAGTTCAATATAGAATTTTTATTGTTAAAAAAGTTGCTGTCTCGAGAAATGTGAACTTAGATAATTGAGTTAACAAGTAATAAACAAAAATATTTAACAACGATGCAAGAATGATAGATTAATTTAATTTATCACAAGGTCTATCTATACTTTTTTACTTTTCAAATCTCAATCTAATGAAAGGATTAACCAGAATAATACAACTAATATTAATTTTTCTAAAGGAAAGAGTGACAATTTCATTTCATTAATATGAGAATGTTGTGATATAATAATAAAATAAATGAAATAATTTATAAAAGAGAATCATCCATATGTAATCTCACCTCATCTGTTAGTAAAATGTGAATTTGAGAAGGTCCCTGCATATAAATATCCCCTATCTGTTGCGTCTGAATGCCAAACAATGTTGACAATTTCACTTTAAATTCTTCCAAAACCAGTGAATCCATATATAATGCATGGTATACTGGGAGAAAAAAGTTCATTCAGGTGATTATTTTTATTGTTTTAGAAATTTATTGAACTTGGATAATAATTGGATTGAAATATATTTGTAAAAACACTTTATATCCACACAACACCCATTTTTAACCTTTTTATCCTCACTGACTAATGGCGACCTTATAACATAGCACCAAGAAAAATTTCATGCATAAACTCCCTTTTGCTGCACATGCATCTTAACATTTTTACTTATTCAAAAATGAATTATCACAACTTTTCTAGTGAATATAGCGTGTTTAAAGTCAGAATAATTAAGTGATTTTACAAATATTTTAATTAATCTTTTTTTTAAAATACTTATGTGTGCCCCATAAAATGCATTTTTTTAAAAAAAAGCTCACTTGATTCAGGCTCTTGACATATGTACACTGTAAGTCTTGGTCGGATATTTCTGTGAAATTAAATTTGGTTACTAAATATTTCAAATAACCTGCAACAATGTCTTGAGAACAAAAAGAAATATTAAATGGTCCTATTGTCACCAAATAAGTTACTGTATACTAAATACCACTTTAAAGTTTAATAGTTTTTACACATCTATCCAATCACCACTTTCCTTGTCATACCCAGTAGTTCAGACCTTTCTTTTCAATAACTCACCTGGCCTGGAGGGCATTATCTAATCTTATACCATCAGCTAAACCACAAATTTGAATCAAATCATCACGACTTAACCGTAACAGATCTGCACCTGAAAAGAATACAAACAATAAAGAAACACTTTGTTAAAGTGGAAAAAGCCTGATACTAATACTCTAAAGCTTAAAACATAGACCTCCAAAAATAATATTTACACTATTTTTATCTGGTAAAAATAAAATAAACCATCACTTTCCCGTTCCAAGCAAGCATGAGTCTAAAAAAAAAAATCATAACCCCAACAAGCTAATATCAAACACATGAACAATTAAACCATCTGTCAGACATGTTTAAGAAACAGCAAGTCTTTATTTCAATAACAAAAAAATTAATTTACTATTTTTAACCATAGGCATTTATTACAAGTAATTGAAAATTGTTTCAACAAATATTTTTTTAAAAATAGAGAGAGGTAAACTGTGAGATACCTGAGAAATTCTGGAATACACGAACATAATTAGAAAATCTGTGGTAGTGAAGCCATTGAGCTACATCAGTTGCTTGAGCATCAGATGAAAGGGGCTGGAATTTTTTTAAAATGACATTTGCAATAATATTTTTAAAAAATAAAATAAAAAGATTTATAAGTATGATTTTTGTTAAGAGTGAAAAGAAAAGTATGCCAAAAAATATTTATTTCATTCACTGTAGTGATCAAATGGTTTGATGACTCACCCCTGACAGAACATCCACTGGTTCATGGGTCTGGTTATGTGAGAAGGGCAAAGGTGTGTGGGAGGAACTACTTTGTGGTGGACTAAGGGATGGATTGGGCGATGCTGTACAGCTGAAGAAAGAGAAAATAATATAACAACTGATAAATCATTTGGTTGATTTATGGGGCTATGAAAACTAAGCACATTCACATTTAAAGAAACATTTGAAAGATTTGATAAATTTATCAAAAGATAGCTAAGCCACTTGACATCTATCCCCTTTCACTATGGACTAAAGCAGGAACTTTCATAAATCGAGTTATGTGTAAGTTGTGTGTCGAGGGGGAACTTTTTCACTGTGTGGTTGGTTCCAGAGCACTGGGGAGGGGTGGGTGGGGGGGTCTCCAAACTGTGAGGCATAGGTCATTAGATTAATGAGTGCAAAATCCAACAAGGCTGTCGCAAAAACAACTTTAGGTCAGGCATGAATTAAGAATTGTGCTTGAAAAATAATGTATGCTTTCAAAATGAGACCCTAATCGTATAATGAGCAATGGAAAGTGGCGTAATTAGTTTTTACATGACGTAAAGACAGTTCATAGATTTTTGAAGTGTGTTACCAGAGAAAAATTTTGTATGGCTGCTTCCATCACATTAGTTCCATTATTTACTAGCCAAAGGTTATCCATTTCAAAATGTTACATTCTTATATATCTATATATTTATATTAAAAAAAAGTCTTTTTTCAAGTATATTTCTTTTACCCTGGGATGATGTGGGTCGGACAAATCGAAGCTGGCACATGGGTAATAGTTTGGAGACCCCTGCTGTAGCAAAATATAATATGACAATAGATATGATGTTCAAGTCCAATGAAAACAACATTTGTACAAACTACAAAATCAACATGGTGTGGAGAAATGGATCAGATGGAACATAAATAAATACAAGTTTTATTTCCTCATTGAAAATCGTAGCTGATCTGCCCTACAATCCATATAAGGTGATAAATAAAAAAGAGACGCTACCCCAAACATATTTAAGATTAGTGCTAAAGTAAAGCCAGTAATTTTGAGATAATGTAACTTTCTGCCTTTGCCAAATTCAGGGGTAAAATTCATGTAACTCACTTGAGCTCAGCAAAACTACTTGTCAATGACTGGGTCTTGCTGTAGCCTGAATTTGCCTGCAATATCTGATCTTTAGGAACCTGTAACAATTTTTTCAAAAATTTGATGTATTTATTAACTAATTCCTTGCCGTAAAACAATATTGCTGAAAATTTGAAAGGATAAAAATTTCTTTACCAAAATAGTAAAGTAGTTTACAAGAATCAATTATTATTACTAAAGACATAAAGGAGAAACTGCAAAATAATAATTGTTTTAAACAATTTTGTAAAAGATGTGGATTTCATAATATTCCATAGTGTAATGATGAAGTAACTATTAAAATTGAAGATTTATCACTTCCATTGACATCTGAATTAGCTAGCCATGATTTCTATTTTAATGGGGTATTAAAAAAAAAATCCCCCCAAAAAAAAACAAGTTTAAAAAATTGTATTTTACATCATAACTGTTTACCTCTGTTAAAACTGTACATTCATAGGATGGCTGGTACTTCTCCTAGGGGGAAGAAAAGCCTGAACTAAATATAACTATATTTAATGAAAGAAGTATTAGGGACAAGGCTTTATTTTGAAAATCAATGAGACGAAAAGCTATTTCATTTAATGATTCAACTCTGCAATCTACATTAAGAAATTATTTTAGTTAACTTTAAAAATTTTATAGGTTTAACATGTGGAATTATAAACTTCTACCTTCTCTACATCTGATCTCTTTTCCATCTTTTCTCTATCTGTTTTGTGCTTTCTGTCTGCCCCTTTAGGCTGTTAATAAATAATTGGAAAAATAGATGGAAATTAGTTTAAAAGATAAGATTCCTTGATTGGAAAAATAAAAAAGTAAGCTCAAATTAAAAAATATGTAATATTTCTTTAAATTAATCAATGACAGTAATGAAAACTATTTACATACCGAGTTTTTTCAGCCCTATAGATAAATCCCATTGACTTAATAACATTACCTTAAAAACTTTAATTTGACATGATGCAGCATGAAGTAGTTTGGCTTCATCTGTATTAGTATAAGTTTCAACCTGGATAGAGACCAAATAAATAGAATGTCAATTTACTAGATGCACTTGAACTAAAAAAAAAAAAGACTAGTTTTCAGTCTTTATCCTGTTGCAGAGATCCCAGTTAAAATTAAAAATAATTATCACAAATTAAAATGATTCTATTTGTCTTAAATGATGAATTTATTTTATAGTGTTCCATGCAAATAGATTTTAAATGTTGGTTTTTGTAGAGCTTGAAAAAAAAATTAAGTTTTTTATATTTTTATAATTATGCTGCTAATGTAAAATATTTGCAGTTGCGTTATTGTTTTAGTCTGTCGCAACACCCTCAGATGCAAGATGTACCTGAATCCTGAAAGGGACACCTTTCTCTCCCCCATGTTTTTTTGCTGTAAATTCTGTTGATATGCAGTGCACTCTCACATAAAGGCCAGTTTCTTTGGTTGGGTCCCAGATAAACTCCAGCTGATTCAGTCGTACAGCATCCAAGTTTACATTTACCAAACCATATGACAGTGGGATATCTGGATACAGGAATTTTCAAATGAAAAGTTTTCAGTTCACAAGTTGAAAAATAAACATGAAATATTTACAGATGCTATATTTCATCAGTATTTCTCAAAATTCGGGCACACTTGTTACAATGTCTCTAGATGTTGCTAAGTATATCCCACCTCGCCCCGCTTCACCTAAAACCAAAACTAAATGATATAGCTATGTAGTGATGATTTCTAACCTAAAAGAATGGTAATACATTTTTTTCAAACTATATCTTTTCATATTGTATATGAAATTAAGAGCTTTTATTTCAAAGAAGAATTTTTTTAAAATTTATAACTTTGCTCTAAATGAGGTACATGGGTTTGTTTGTTGCATGTCAGTAAGTTCTTGAATATTGAGTTTATTAATAATTATTCTGCCTGTCACGCTTTTAAAAGATAATAAAGTCCTTTCTAATGATAGCAACTACAATGTAAGAATATTATTGTATGAATATAATAATTTTTTTTTTGGAAAAAATTAGTTAAGCTTTAAAAATAAAAATTGCTCGTTGTTCTGATTAATGTTTATAAATTTGTATTTATTTTATTAGTTTCCTAAATTTGAGCTAACATACAAGAAGAGTATTCAAATAAATTGTCACAGCAGATGACATTAGGGCCCAGCCTTTTATAAACACTGCGCTATGAAAAATATTGATCTACTGCTAGTACTTTCATATGTAAAGAACAAATTTTTACAAACATGTTTCCCTTAAAAATAAATCAGCCATTTTCATTTATATCAATGTAAGAGCTTTTGTAAATTTACAAGAGATTTTTTATTAAAAAATTAATTTGATTTATTATTTGCATGTTCAGATGATAATATTTTTGAAAAAAAAATGATATAGAGGGCAGTTATTCGATATATTATGAAGGCAACTCTTAAACATTTACAGCCAAGCCAGATCATGAAAAAAATTATTGTAAAATATCTCTATCCTGCTCATTTAGGGTAGGTAAAACTATGTGAACTTTCATTCATATAAAGACCACACATTTGTATAAGTGTCAGTGTATTTGTCTGTACTCCACACAACGTAGCACATTTTTCACATGCTTCTTGATTTCATATCAGGTTACAAAGAGGATAATTACTGCATATATTTAACCCAAAATAACATAATCTTTACTAAATATACACAAATAAAATCTAAATTGGAAAAATTGCAACTATCTTGGCAACAATTTTATGAAAGGAAGAAAATTATGCACCCACTAATTAATAAAAGGCCACACGCCACCCCACTTTTCTACAAAAGTCTAGAATAAAATGGTTTTAGGGGTGGGGTGTTTGAAATGAGCCCCTGTTTATACGTGACAAAAACTCACAATCCATCCCCAATTAAAAAAGAAGGAATTAAACCCTCTGCCACTTGACATGTTGTCACATGATTATGCAACAAACCAATATCCAGGATTCTCTCCCCAGGCCTCATCTGTTTCCAAGAGTCAATCTGCTCCTTCTCCATGAACTGTAGTCTGCGATCATGAAATAACACTTTAACAATGCTCTGTTGAGAATAAAAGAAGGGAAGAGATGGGTCACTCTCAATGAATATGCTAATAAAATTATGAGATATCAATCATTGTAGCATGAGATTACTTGTGATTATTTGTACAGACACAGTATTTGAGAAACTTCCTTCATTATGTTTTCAAAAATAAATTTCTTCAAACCAAGATCAGAAATCTTTAGATACTTAACCCAGTGATTAACTCAGAGGAACTTTTAACTGAACAATATGTAGTTACAAAAAAATTATTTACCCTTAAATATTTTCCTTGTAGCTCTGATAAATCTCCAAGCTTCTTGAGTTTGATTTCATATGACTGACCTTAAAAAACAAAAGACAAGGAAAAATTGTTTAAATTTAATGAGCAGCAAGTTTAACTTTTAATTTAAATATAGTGACTTTCAATTATACTTATCTGACATCTTTTGGTTTTCTTTGGGGCCAGGTGAACTTATTATTCCATTGTTATATCCTGTATATTAACTTCGCTTTTGTTTTTGTGTTTCTGGCTGCGTGGCAAATCTTCGGACGGCTTATTGACCCACTTCCTGTCAACCCATCAAGTTGAAACTTGGCACATAGACTCGATGCTGATGATAACATTTTATATCAAATTTTCAGCCCCACACCCCAACCCTAACAGATAAGTTTTTCTTGTTTTCCAAGGGGAAGATGAAGGAAATATGATGATTTAAATTCTTTTAAAAAAATATTGCAAGTGTGATTGGTGCGTAATATTTTCTTCTGCTTTTCTAAAATAGCTGGTGAACTAATCTAAGGTGTAAACTCAGTTGGGACATTATAATATTATAAAATAAAATATTTTAAAAATGCATACAAAGGATTTATAAGAAAAACTATGTTTTAGGGGGTTATTTAATGAGGTACAAGCTTACACTTAAAATGTTTTTCCATCTTAAATGAACGCAATCAATTATTATCTTAAAACCAGGTGGTGAGAACAGATATCAAAATGTCCATTTCAACCTTTTTCACATCACATCCCACTTGAGTTTTATAACACACACACACACACACACACCCCCCCCCCCACAATGGCTCAAACATATTCTTCAAATTGCCTCCCTGTGGAGCCTTCTCAATTCTTCAGGAGTTTCGTGAGGATGGGAGGGTTTATTTTTCATTACTGCGGTTAAGCCACATGGACCACTATCATGACAAAATGGCAATTATAGCAACAAATATTCAAGGTTACTTGTTACATCCAAATAAAATAATTTTTTTCAGTTAAGTAGCCACACAAAATTATTGGCTTAAAACTTCCTCTTGACAGTCAAATAATAAATCATCCTGGTAGGTAACACCCTGTTGTCTTTAGTTGCAACAAAATATCAATGATCTAAAGGTCAATGCATAGCATAGAAGACAGCTAGAATTGGAATTGTGTCAGACAGTGTCACAAAATAATGCATAGTGATAGCCAGGGAAACAACTAACTAACTTAAAACAAATTAACAACACTACCTTGGTTTAGATAGGTGAGAGTTTCTTCATTTAATTTGACAGCCGGTGATGTGGCTGCTCCAAGTATATACTGGAATCTGCCAAACAAACAATATGTGAAGCATGAAACTTATTTAGTGTAAGTACTCAGTTATAAGACAGACCCCTTTTGTTTTGGATTGAAAAACCTGAAAATTGTCAGCCTGCCCCGAAGCTGACCCAATTAAATAATATGCCAGTGGTAACATTACATTGATTGCTAAAGAAATTAAACTTTTAAATTAGTATATTAGACTTCAAAACTAGAATACATCATAGTTTTGTATATCAGTTTGCATGTCTACCGGTATATATATTATAACCACAATAACATTTCCAAAAATAACACCTCAGCAATCTACAATGTCAATTTAATTATTCAATGTATAACTTGGATACTCTCTAAGCAGTGCCAATCACGGCAGTCGCAAAATGAGGAAAAAACATGTGACCCAATTTTGCAAACTGCTTTATGTTGACTCCAAGTAATTGCTTTTCCTGCAATTTTTTCTTTAATAGAATCGATCTACCTGGAGAAATTATAAAAATCTCCAAGGACACGTTCATAAGACAAGCACACATTTATTACTGTGAAAGTACTTTTTTTTTTTAAATTCAGCTTTTCAACTAGTATATACTTTAATATTTAAAAATTAATCTAATGTTAATACAACAAAAGGTTAAACTTATTATGACCATTTACAGATATATTACAGATATAAGTTTAAACTGCAGATACAAAATGACACCAATCCAGACCTGTTTACTCTTACGATTTTGGTGTACAATGTACGATTTTGAGATATGATACATTATATATACTGAATGTTAATTTTTTTACTATTAAGATAATTATTGAACAATTTTTTTAAATATTGTACGATTTTAAGAGTTTGAGGAGGGTAAACAGGTCTGCCAATCTCTAACACAAAAAAAGTTCCTACATCTTACCCATTTTCTAAATTTTCTTGCTTGAATACAGGTAAGGCCAGCAACGCCTCACTATAATTGAAACACGAATGTAATATTTTTATAATGTGAAAGACATAGACAATTAAACCTGTTATAAATTTTAAAAAAACTTCAATATTACATCTTAAAATAAAACCTTACCATACCTTAAAATATTTTAGGAAGTTTATGATTACAAGGTAATAATATCATTAATGCTCTTAAGTAGGCTAATAATAAAAGCTGAGAGACTTGTCATTATCATGTTTTGGTTAACGTTCATGATATACATATAAAGGGTCTCTAGTCAGGGCTCTTTAAATATTCTAGTTCTTAGCTAAACTCACCTCATATTATAGCTTGCCGTGCCAAGTTCTGTACCAAGACCAGACAGAGATCCATCAAAGTCGGCAGCAAGGCCTCCATCAATGTCCCATGTGCTGAGAGAATTTGTTGTTGTAGAGGCAGTGGGAGTTGAGTGGAACATCTTGGAACGTTTCCCCGCTCCAGCTCCGGTCTCATCAGACCAACTATAGCTGTGGTGTACACTAAAACATATAAAGGTATAAAATATATCTGTTACACTAAATGATAAATTAGTAATAAATTTCTATCAGAATTTATAATTCAAAATATATATTCTCAAATAACACTGTCACAATCTCACCATATACAACACATGAACATTTTTCAATCATAAATAATTTCATTTATGCAGAGAATTTGACCATGTTTTACTGGCATGCAAATAAAACCCTATTTACTGCTGATAAAGCATAGTGTGAAATTTTGCGAAGCAACTTTATTGTATCCCTCAGATATGCCACAAGACCTGCCGATGACCAGTGGTTGCGCCTCTCCCTCATAGAGTCTCAGTTGTGGTGGGTTTTTTTTTACCAACTGTACACCTCACTTCATGCTCACACATCCATTCACTTCTATTATACTCAGTAATAAGCTAAAACTAGGGCAATAAAGTAAATTATCTATCATACACATGATATATTGTCTTTTAATAGCCTATATAAAGGCATATAACTGTTGTTCAGGCCTATTAAATTTGTACTAAAAATTGTAGTCCTGCACCCTAAATGAGAGCTCAGCAAACAGTGTGCAGCGTGATAATGCTCTAAGATGATGAAAAAACATGTTAAGATGATATAAACTTGTTGAAACAAAAGGGGCAATGATTGGCTAATTAACTAGCTGTCAAAGGTTTGAAGTCAAATAGTACTTCACATCAGCATTTTTAATTTAGCGGGTCAACTCAATAGTCACCATCGGGTTAACTCACTAGTCACCATCGCATGTTTCTGAAGCAACAAACAGTAAAATATGTCCTTTTCACTTAGGCCTTTGACCTCACCCTATTCACACCTGCACTATGTAACACTTCAACTAGGTGTTGATAGCTGGTTATTTACAAATTAATATATAGTAGAACCCGGCTATGTCGACAGCCTAGGGGTTTGCCAAAAAGCGTCAAGATAGCTGAGGATCCAGAACAATGAAAACCAATATGGTGGCAATATATTAAAATTTGCTTGAAATTTCTTTAAGTACATGATGTGCATTAATAAATGAGAATGAGTCTAATACCAATAAACTAAATAAAGCCTAAATTTTAGGCTATACCTAATTTAATAATTTATGTCAATAATAATTAATAGGCTTTAGGGCCTAAGCTTAATATGATTTAGGCCTAGACTAGGTTACTTTATATTAGATTTAGACTGACTGATTAGACTGTATCCTGTATATGATTAGAATATTAATATTATAAATACTTATTTGTGAAGTACTCATTTTAGTCTAAGTTTTAGGACAGCTGGCTTAGGCCCATACTTAGTCGACCTACTTTCTATTAACGAATGTTATACAAATGTAAGTGATATTTTTAAAATATGGGTCTATAATATTTGGTATTCATATAGCAACGAGCGCCAATAGATTTTTCGGATGCGGGAAACAGACCATAAACCCGTGACCGGTTAATGCCGGTAGGTCATGGGGTTTAATGGAGATCTAGTTTGCTTTGTCTACGTAAGGGAGTGACAATGAACTTATTATAGTCTGTTTTGTGCACATGAGGAGGCCTATCATTAAAAAATAAACATAGGGATTCTTTCACTCCTTTATTTTGGGAAAGAAATTTTTAATTATGAAAAACTTGTTTATTTGTTTTTTGCTATCTCTTCTTGCGGAGTTCAAAGACCGGTGATCAGTCGGGGGATCGAGATAATTGACATTAAGTGGCAATTTTGTGCTCTAGGTATCAGGGTTCGGCAACATAAAAAAATCGACATAACAGAGGAGAAAATGCTAAGAGAAAAAAGAGAGTTTGGCGGTTCCACTTCAATAATGTAGACATAACAGGGTTGATAAGTTAACAGAGGTTACATGTCATTTCCAATAAATGGAAGAAAAAAAACAACCAACAAAACCTAAGCATATTCCTGTCCAAACTGAGGGTATCGAAGATCTTTCATCTAATTTCTTGATGTAGTCAAGCAAGTGTTTATCGTGCAACACATTTTAAAAAAATATTTCTCAATGTATTTTTTTTTTTTTCGTGTGTGGCTTGTTTCATTTTTGGAATTCAAATAAATAGGATAGATCTATCTTTGCACATGAATGTCATAATTAGTAAGTCGGTAGTCGCTGGCGGCTGGTTAAATATTCTATTAACTGATCTTAAAATTTAATATTTTTTAAATATATTATAACTGAATTAAAGTGTAAAAGAGTTGAGGTTTATAGTTGTTTAATTTTTATTTTTTAATATTAATGAATAAAAACAACAGACAACAATGTTAAGGTTAGTAGTGAGGTCGGTCACTTGCTACTAGTTGCTTCATTTTCCACTGCTTATCCATAGTAATGGATAATTAGCTAATATGCTTTTCAAGCAATATCTAGATATAACCGCTTGTAGAAAAACCCTCAAAACTTTATAAGTTTTACATTTTTTACAGGTTGAAATTATAGCTTCAAATTCCTCATAAAATATTTACAAGCAAATTTTTCAAACAATTTGTGACAATGAGGGTTAGTTTGGTATAAAAAAACAATTAGATCTAGGTATGTTAATACATGTCTAACTATGTTGATTTTGGGAATTAAAAAAACACATAAAATAAAGGTAGTTTGAAACATGAACATCTTGGGATAATCAAGTTACTAGAGCACATGTTTTTAGCATGTGGGAGAGGACCTTACATGGGGTTGTAAAGGCATTTATGTGGGGCGCTGGCTGAAACATTAGACTTAGACTAAGAGAATTAATGATTTTCAAGTAGTTTTCTTTTGTAACAGATTTAGTTTTCATTACAATTTTAATCATGACATTAACTGGAAAATTCAGTTTTAATATGTTTCCCTTTCTAAGAATTTACCCTATTTAAAAAAAATCTTTTTTCCAACATATAGTGGCAAAGGTTACTTTCTAAATGAATGTGGTCATGACTTGAAAATGCTTGAGAACCTGTGCACTAGTGAAACTGAGCTTATAATTCAATACATTAGATACTACGATACTTGTTCAGAGAGCCGATCTGCGTATGATAAAAAAATTATCAAAAACTTTTGTCGCCATTTAACATGCAGCGGTGATAGTTTTTTTCTCTTTTTTTATGTTTTCTAATAATAAATTAAATTATCAGATTTCACTGAAGCATTAGGTGCTTTGACAGAAATTTTAATTGTTGTAAAAGTTAGATCACATTAAAGGGATAGCTATAAGCCAGGGGTTTCAAACTCGTGGCCCGCGGGCCATTTGTGGCCCCCAAGACAATATTTTTTGTGGCCGGCTACCTGACAGCAAAGTTTAGTGTAACGCGGCCTGCGGGTTTTTACCCATTCTCATATATATTGAATCTCACAGACTAGTCTAATTCTGATTTTTATTATGTTTATATATATATACCTATAGGTTTGGAAGTTGATTATAATGATAAAAACCATTTTAAAATCGGACTAAAAGTTTTTATTTTATAGCATTTTATGAGACAAACATGGTCAAAGTGAGGTTTTGAGAAAACAAGCTTCGAATATTGTATATACATATATCAAAAGTTTTAAAATTCAGGTAGTGGGTAATGAACAACCATAATTGTGTAAATCGTAGCAATTATGACACAGCATCAAAGAATCCCTATTATAGTAACTGCTAATGTGTAGGAGTGACGAGTGAGGGAAATTGCGAGCCTGTCAGCTTGGTCACTTTCAAATTATGATTAGTCAAAAAGGCCTTACCTACAATAAAAAAAATCAAAATTCATTCTCCCTTCAATGGCATCTTCCTTTGCATCAATAATTCATAATTATTGGCTGCTCCAGGCTTCTGTTTGAACACGTTTTAGTTTTAAAAATCGCTATTGGGAATCACAGTATTTTTATTTTTGCTTTTTTGTCTTTGTTTACTAGAAGCTTATTATTTTCATAGCATTTATTAGCTGAATATTTTTACTTTAGATCATCAGGAATTTTAGGGAGTTTAGGGTGAAGCAATGCTCAATATTCGAGTTTTAATGAGTCGGCCTAATTTTTGGAACAAACAAGCATTAGTTTGTGCAATGATTTGTTATTGTTTTAGCCAAAATTAACTTAGATTATTTTGATGTAACTAAACATGTAGAAAAATGTTTGTTGAATCAATCTCAGCCAAAAGGTCATTGTTACCAACCATCTCTTTTCAGCTTTGATGACATACGAAAGAAACCATTATGGAAACATGTTACATTATTATTTTAAATTATTGAGCAATATTATTTCATACATAAGAAATTTGTCATAATTCGAGAATTCAATCTCTGACTACTGCAGCCTCATTTATTATGTTGGTTTCTAAATCTACCTATGAGCAAGGTCGAAGCGCTGCCAGGTCTCTGGTCCCAAGGAATAGCAGGATGTAAGTGAAGCCTAGTTCTTGAGAACCCTTAATGTTTTAATTTGTTATTAATAAAGGTTTAAGAGGATTGTTACACTTGAACTTTATTGAATTTGTAATCACTTTTTTGTGGAATACTTGATGCGGCCCAGTATCACTCAGACTCTACCTCCTGCGGAACGCGGATAATTTGAGTTTGAGACCCCTGCTACAAGCTTTCTAAAAATATAAATTTTTCTATCAGAATCTTTGGAACTACCCTTAAAAAAAAAAGTATAAAAATAACAAGTCTTGATTTGTGTAAAATTTTTGTTGTTCATTGTGTTGTATAATGTATTGAGAATGTCTTATGATAAAATTATCTTTTAAAATAAAAAAGTTGTGGGCATTATGAAGCAGAAATTCGAAAAATTGGTCACAAGCTTTTGGAGTTATATACAGATAGTTAAGAGGCTTTAAAAAATTCACAACGCCACTTTGACTTCTATAAAATCTAGAGAGATAAAATTGATGTATTTTGTAAAGCTTATACTTATAGTGCTGTCTAGTTCTTTAAAATGATGTATCTTTGATGGTAAACAGTAAACAGACAATATTTAAAATTTCGAAGTTGCTGCGTACACCATGGCAATGTACCTAGCAATACCATGGACCTTGGCCAGCGTACACTGTGGTGGTGTACCTAGCAAAACCATGAACCATCCAGTTTTTTTCCTCCATTTTTTATGTTTTATATGTAAATTATTATATTCATTTGTAACTGTAGTTTCATGAGAGTGTTAAAAAATATTTGCAGCAATTTAAATATTTAAAATTTATGTTATATTCAGATTATTAAGTGTTATAATATAATGTAAACTTAAAAACAAGTTGTGCCGGCCTTTGAATTTGAAAATAATAAATTAGAAAACAAACATAAAGCGCATGTATCATGTATTTGACGTGTATAATAGCCAGAGAGCTGTTAAGAAATCGATCTGTGCCAGGGTATGGGAGATGAGTTGTGGGCTGAGGCTTAACAGGGGGCACAAAACCAAAAAGGGGGCCTACAAAAATCACGGCTCTGGATAGGGGTTGTCCACAAAGGACGTCCGCACAACAAACTTAACTTTTGCATACCCCACCCCCACCGGGGTTGCTAATGTCCGCCGGCATTTTTACTGTGTGTAATGCCAGGAAATAAAACTGTAATAAAGAGCATTCAAAGAGTCAATACATTTAAATTTCTAAACTCAGTATGATATATAGGTCCATCCATATATTAATTATGCAGGGGGGGGGGGGAGAAAGGATGAGGTTGTTGATTTTGTATATTTTGCATCCTGTTGCGTATGGCGGTTGTGGGAGGGAAGGTGCGTCTGGCAGAAAGAACATATCCTGACTTTCTGACACTCTAAAACATCTAATAAAGCCAACGTTATCCTAAATATCTGTGAAATCAATGATATTTAATTATTGTAAAAGGCTTTTAAAAAAATCACTGCATTATTTAGCATTTATCATCATACTGTTTTGTGTTGACAATCGCTTGATATTACAATGACAATGGGAATGGTTAGCCTCGGACAACTTTAGCTTCAAGACCAATGTACGTGATTTTCTGTCTGTAACGTATTTGTGGCGTAATTAAAATATATTTGAGATAACAAAATAGATACATTGGCTTCCCTTTCATTTTTTACCCCCAGCCCCGAGCGATCACATAAAATGTCATAATGCCTCTCTCCCCCCCCCCCAAGACCCAACAAACTAGTGAAGGAAAAATTGATTTCAATTTATCTACCCTTTTTAGACCTTAAGATTGACAATCATAGAATAAAACTTGAAATTATTGAAAAATATGTTTGTATTTCAATTTAAAGGGTAGGGGGATTAAAGTTGTTAACTTTTAAAATAAATCATCGTTTAACATCACATCCCCCCCCTCCATAAAATACTAAGAACTGCATTCCTCATTACAAGTAATTTTCCACAAAAGTGTGGAAATTACCCAATATCTTCCTTCAACCCCAAAATAAAAAAAATATATACAAACAACAAAAATTACAGTTCCACTATTGAGTCTATTGTAGGAACATTGTTCCTTTGCGTTCATGCAGGACTCGGGGCCTGCACACAATAAAAAAATATCAGTACTACTTTTGTTTAATCTTACAACTTACAGGTATTAAAAGAATAAATAAATAGTTTTTAGTTTTAACAAGAGTATAACATTATTTTACAAATACTGGTATACTGGTTAGGCCATAAAGTTTAAGACTCGCAGAAAAGACCATGGTTTTACTGCTTAAATCGCTGGGGTGTACGCAGGCCACAACAAATTATTTTGCTAGGTACACTGCCGTGGTTTATGCATGCTAAAGTTACATGGTTTTACTAGGTACACCGTCGTGGTGTATGTAGTGACGGACTTAAAATTTACATCAAAATATCAAAACCAAGTTAACTAGATTTTACAGGTATAGCGACAATTTGTGACAATCTGGCACCTGTTGAAATTTGTTTGAAATCAAGAAAATTATATAAGCTGCAGGGTGTTTCAGGGTGGGGAAAATTTCCCGATTCTTTTATTTATTATAATTATTTATTGCTACCTCAACTTCTTTTGACTTCCATGGGATAGTAGTTGAAATTTAAAATAATTTCCAACAATACTGTTCATAAATTAAAACGATGACTAGGCCTGAAACTTACTAGTAATATCTATATATACTATAATAGCACTAAAAACTACCGATTGTTTTAGAAGAAGCAGGGCTAAAGAAGAGCAGAAAAAGTCAAACCAAACTTGTTATCCGGAAACGCAGGTCTAAGTTTATTTAACTCTCCATGGTTTTGGTTAATTTAAAATGCAGAGAAATTGATTGCAAATTTAGTAAGCATATCCTTAAATTTATTTACCTATCTGGCGTATGTATCATTCCCTCTGGAGATGTCCTTGTTCTAACAAAGCCAAGGCCGTAGCTTAAGAGAAAAACATCAACAGTGGCAAATGGCGGTGGTACCCACTAGTGGCATAGTGTAGGTTTTTTCGATATTTCACAATTTGAAGTAGCCGAGTTCGAAAATCAGGAATAGATTTTTAATTATTCAGCTTGATTTTTTTACTCAAATAAGGTGACAAAAAGAGCGTGTATCAATTTTGAATAGGTTATTAAATGTTAACTTTATTTCCTGAATAAATCAACATCATTTTATGAATTTTTTTACAGACAAGAAGTAATCGGGCTTTAGATTTAAGGTTAACATCGGTCACGATATTGTTTCGGTGTGCTCTATTAATTAAGCATCGACAATTAAAAAGTTGACGTAAAGCGGAATAATATTGTGAAAACTCTTGTTAACTACACCATCTATCAATTTATCAAAAAAGGAAAAAAAAATACTTGTATTGCTTTAACATGGATTTAGCTTAATTGTGGATACTTTTAATAAGTTTTTGATAAATACACGTTTTAAAAAATATATTTACGACTATCTGGTATCGCGCAGCGCAAGGAAACAGACTTGTTGCGCGGTGACTACATACAATAGTCTACTTCATGGTATCGGCATACAAATTGGGTATAAAAAAGTACCCGTTTGTTTTCCATTTTTTGCAAAGGCAAAAGAAATTTTAAAAATATCCACTGATTTGGTTTCAATAATTTGCAGTGGCAGGCCTTCATTAACTGCCACCTGGGGCGAACTCCCAAAATTGTTTCATGCCCCCCCCCCTTTTTTTTTTTCCTCCGCCCACGCAAATTACAAGTGTTTTCAGAATAGCACTACTAGACTCTACTGCTAATAAGTATGATAATTTTTTTTTAATTTAAGATATGTATTATTCAGCAACAGCTCATTATTTTACACCAGGGGTCAAAAAACTTTTTTTCATAATGGGCCGCATCATTTTGTACAAGACTTGGGGGGGGGGGGG